TTTCTTCTTCTTTTTTGCTTCCAAAAGGCAAGAAAGTCCATATTAATTAAAGAAACCCTAACCCTATTTAATACTCAATTAATTTTACGGATCAAATAAGACTCGAACTAAAACTGGGGCGATGGCGCAATCATTGAACTGTTTATACAGTGCTAAGAAATAATTTCTGAAGACTTGTTAAATTAGGAGAATGGTTGTTTTAGAGATTAAAATGGATGTTGTTGGATGTGATTAGCCGAAAGCGTTGGGAAACAAAAGTTCTCCATTTGACCATGAGTCTTCCAATGTGTATCAAAGGGAACTTTTATCTAGCATGTTAAGCTGTCTGCTTTCTTTTTTATCAAGCTTAATTTGATCTCGAGAGATGCCTTTTTTTCTTTTTTGCTGTCAGATCTTAAAAGGGTACCTGTTAATTTAACAAAAAGATCCAAATCCATGGAAATTAATTTTATCCAAGCTTTTGTTGTAAGATAGATGTAGGGTTTTCAAATGTTTCAAAATACGTTACATCAATACATGTTGATAGACGTGCTTAATCTAGGAACGTGAGTATGAGTGTCCTAAGAGCATGTCGATAGATTTGGGGTACCTTTAATCACCCATGATACGAAGAGATTGCATGAGACAACAACCCATTAATTCTCTTTTTTTCTTGTGTGTGCAATCCGAGCCCTTTTGTCAAAAAGACTTGAACAGATGGGGCTACTGCTTGCCAAAGCTATTTACCATTTAAAAACTCTTGTATCCACGAGAGTAACGACAGAAATGGGCTTATCCTAAAAGAGGTCTATGATATGGAGTGACAAAATTTCAAGACCGATATGTCATTTCACAACACGGCTCTTTTCTCAACCTTATAAGAGACTGCCTTTTACTTTTCAGAATACCATTAATCTATATCTTAAGATTTTCAAGTCTTAAAAACTTTCTGATTGACGAGATTTATAAAGTGGCGAAGCGCATACTCGCAAAAATTAACTTATTATAACCAAACTTTTAACCTAACCGAACGAGAGTCGAAAGAAAAGATACTCATGTGTCTCAGTCTCACGTACCATTCGTTCATCGGGCTTTCTAAAGTTCTCCTAGCCAAATGATGGCGCGGTCGAAGATTCTCCCATGCCACCCAACAGGCCACGTGGTTGACATTTTGCAAAATTAACAAAAGAGGGCATGGTTGGTCGTCGGCATAGACGCCCCCATTGGAGGGCAATTGAAAAAAACTTAAAATAGAAAAAAGGTGAGTCGTGCAAAGAATTTATTTAAAATCAGCAGCAATAATTACAATTGCTGAAGAAATTCGCTTCGATGTGATAATTGCATGACTCTAGAGATTTGGGGAAATTTGATAGTGTATGAACAGCTCAAAAAGCTAATCCACAACTCTTGATCATTATCAGTAGATGATACAGATTCGTTCAAGTAGTTTGCACCTGTGTCATCTTAAGTATTTTCTCGAAGAAGGAAGTTCATGCGAACAACCGTTTTGGTTCGGTTCATCTCAATTTGATTTTGGCACAAGGGTTTCTATTAAGTAATGCGCGTACTCTCTCTTTGTCTATTAAGCGAGAATCATGGCACCTGCATGGGATTTTTCCTTTATGGTCTATGCAAGCTTGATGAAGTGGGTTTGCTATTGATTGGCCATGCCCGAAATCTCCTTATTGAGAACATGATTTGAGCTTTGACTCCGTTTATTTCACGGAAAATAAATTATTTGGAAAATATTTTTCTTGAAAATCATCATTTGTATAGCTTAAAATAATTGGCCAATGAACAGTATTTATATTATCAACAACAATTTATATCTAGACATATTTATAGACGATGAAAATACTTTTTATTCGTTTATTTTTGTAAGCAATATAAGCGATCACTTTAAGAAAAAAGGTTGATCATATCATTCATTTTTTGCGAAACAAATGAAGCTTTAATTGAGTAGCGTAGTTGATTCAGCGCATCATCCGAGGACGGCAGAAGGTCGAGAACAAAGCGTTTCGAATGCTTTATTAAAGCCAAAGAATCTCCCCCATCTTACATTAAGTTAAGGAAGTAGGCAGGAAAAGAGGAGAATCTGATGTGAGTGTGATGGCAACCAGACGTGTGGAGTTGTCCCACAAGGTTGACGGTGTGTCCCTAAGACCAAGAGGCCTTTAACTCGTACGATTCATCATGGTCCATGCCATGCATCTTTTGTTTTCACTAAACCCTTTGAACCCTTTAACCTAATTTTGTTCTTTTCTATTCTTTCGGGGGGAACCAAAAAAGAAATCATAAGAGGGAGAAGAAGAAACCCTCGAGCCCTTGATGGATCTTGAAACTATTTGTTTTATTTTTTATTTTACCTTTTGAAGAGAAGAAAGCTCGACTCTTGAATTGACGGTACGTAAGTTAAATTTCGAGAAAAGGATATGAGTGATATATGAATCGTAATAATGAAGAAACTCGATTGCGGATTGCAAATATATGTATCGATTGCATATTATTAGTGTATGTAGAGAAATGGCCGTCGAAAAAAACCCTCTCTCCCGCCATCCATTGGTCGGCATGCTCATGCACCGTTCCCTTTCCATTGATACATTGTCAGGCGAAGCATTCGATCATTGTTCACTGGATACAAAAGAATGTCGAGGTCAACTCATATCGAGGGTTAGCTTGCTCGTACCGCATGCGACGTCCACTTTTTTCCAATTTGATCAAGGACAAATCGTCGATGCATCGAGATCAGGGAATTTGCCGTGAATTGGGGCCCTCAACCCCAAGAAGATCGTCCATAGGATATCAAATTCAAGACGTCTGTGTTTCTTAAAGATGGACAAGGTCTCGATTGTTTTTACCAACTCATATACATTCGGTACCTACGTATTAAGCTAGTTTTCGTTCAAGACATCTTTGAAATAGACGCGCGCATCAATCTAAAGGCTTTGAGAGAAGAAGTCTGGTTGGGTTTTATGTTGCATTACAAAACTTTCTCGAGACTTTGGACAGCGAAGAAGTATTTTCTCCTGAGCCTGCGAATAGCTAATTTTACCTTAGAGAGAAAATGAATCTTATAAGGTGCAAAAGAATAAAAAAAAGTACATATGTAAGTTAATTAGTTCCGACGTCAATGTAGTAAAACACAACTTACACGTCGGATGATAGACATGTAAAAGAACTCAATTGTAAACCTCGTACCAAACAAATGTGTCAGTGATCCGACGATAAATACGTAACTATTTGTTACACCGGCGATGAAGCTAGTAACAATTATAAAAGGGGGTTTATTAGTTTCGCCGCTAGTGTAAAATATCGATTACACATTTGAGATTAGACAGGCTGACATGTAAAATAATATAATTGTATATATTATTTTATTCGATTTGATGCCACTTGGATTAGTCTCTATCACCTTCAACGTATTTGGCAAAAAGTCGGGCAGCATAGTATAGGCACCTTTCTCTAATGGAGTAGTCAATTAGAGTGCACCTTAGGCATCTTAGCTTCATACATTCAGGACTAAGGTGCTCAAGGACAATGCACTAAAGGGAGAATCTGAAAATTTTCATAATACACAAATAATTCATGATTAATCTAATTTGCTGATAAGATTATGTGAAAGAGTGCCCTAAAAAAACTTACTAAGCTAAAGAAGTTTTACCCATTCTCACGCATGTAATCATAACCTTGGAATGTGAATTACGTTCCAAATTCAATATGTTTAATAAGCATCTCGAAGGCACTTGTCAAATATAATCCTTATTAACACTCATATAAATCTACACAAGAAAACATAGAGCGAAAGGACGACGAGTAATTGCCACGAGTGCTCATATCAAATTACAACATTGACTTGCTGATAGAGCAACTTCCATGAACAGATTGAATTCCTGCAAAGGGCAACCCGAGGAATTTCATGATTAAGTTTTGATGAACTATGATCAGAGAAGGCAATTCATTCTAATTAAGAGCAGAAATTTGAAGTTTAGGCTAAATCTACACGACAACATATGACTCAAACCATATTCTTGAAAATCAAGCATGTCATTCTACTTGAGCATTACATGTTTAGATGCTCCATAAAACATTCATTCATCTCCCATTGGACTTGTAGTTTTATGTGCAAACATGATTGGCTGTCAATTACATTGCTCAAACAACTCGAGAGACACATCAAGAAGGATGATGTTATAAGCTAAATCAAGTAATTCTTCTCGGAACAACAACGATAATATTAGCGACTCTATAATCCTACGCAACGAGAAAAAAATTTAAAATTTTTTTTTCCTAAGAATGGATGAAGCAAAACAAGAAAAAATTCGAAAATTTTTCTCTCTGCTCCTTATCAAAAGTTCGAAAGATACCCAATTTAGCTTAGACTAGATTATACCCGATTACGCGGAAAAGAAATTTCACGATAAAAACTCATAACCAAAATAAGCACGTAGGAACTCTTTCAAATATTATTGAAGTTTTTTATCTCAGCAGTAATTGAGCATCTCAACGATAAAGAGATCACTTAATTAAAAACTTAAACATGATTTATTAAGTTAATCGCTAGCTGTTCTACCAATATTCAAAAATCCCTTTCAAAATGCCCCAAGCTCCAATCCCAGCACAAAAAGAGGGGCCAGTATCGCCTCCTAGCTGGGAGCTCGGGCTTCAAATTTCGACCGTCCATTTAGGACCCGTCACCGACTTTGCCGCGACATCGGCCGTACACGTGTCCTCACGCCAAATCCCCCCGCAGAGCCATTACCGCCAAACTCGACCCCCGTCGCTTTTACCCCATCTTCCCAGCAAAAATTGGGGCCGAGCCTCAAAGCGCCGCGACCCATCCGACGGCCGTACGTCGCCGGGTCCGCTCTCGCCCGATCTCCACCGTCCAGCGCAACTTTCAATCTGAGCCGCGCGATCATCGACGTACCCCGATCTCACCGTCCGATCGCGGCCCGATCAAAAAATTCAAAACCATTAGAGGGAGATGAACAACGCACTCTCGCAAGCTTCGATAGAGAATCGCAGCATCAGTCCCAAGTCCCAAATCTCTCTCTCTCTCTCTCTCTCTAAACCCAGAACCTCCCCCTCCTCCGCCGTCCGTACGATTCGCCGCCCGCCGGCGACGGCCGGGGCGATCTCAATCCGCCCGGGCCGCCTCCGGCGACGCGTCCGGTCGGCGGCGAAGCCGTAACGTCTCCTCGCCGCCCTCGCAATGCCGTTATGCTTCGTCGCCGTTACGACAGAGAACGAGCCATCGGTGATTTCCTCTGCCGCCCGAGTCGACGTCCTCGTACTTCGGATCTCGGAGATGAGGTGGTTCCGGTGTTGATGACGTCGTTCGCCGCCGGCGACCGCGACGCACGCGTGGCCTTCTGCTTGTTTTGCCGCCGATTGAGTTTCGCCTTGCGGAGCCCGAGGTAATCTCGAGGACTCGATCGAGCGACCGGGAGGGAAATCTTTTGGACTGGCGTAGGTTGATTGCGGAATAATGGAGAAGATCGAGACGGCGTCTGATTTGGCGCCAAAAAAGCCGGCGAGACAGTTGGATTTCACGGCAGTTTGTAGATCGTCGGCGGAGGATGCGGCTTTGACAGAGCATCAAGAGCCCCCGTCCCAGCCGCAGCCGCCCCCGCAGCTCGGTACGCAGCTCGAGCTTCGGTTGCCATCTGAATCAGAATCGCAGCAACAATCGCATTTGGAGAAGGCGGTTCAGTGGCAGCCACGGCCAATTCAGTCACTTTTTTTCCGCCCGGTGCAACTTGAGTCGTCATTGCAGCCACCGCAGGTTAAGTATCAGTTGAAGCTCTGTCTGCCGCAGGGGAGACCGCCGCAAGTACAGGCTCAGTCTCCGCCGCCACGGATAATGATCTTGAATTCGAATTTGCAGCCGCAGACGCAGCCGCAGCCGATTCCGTCAACACAGCAGATACCACATCTTCTGCATAAGGTTCCAGTTCCGGCAGTGCAAGTTGGGTAAAGTTTCTTTTCATGATCGCTATACCGTTTTCTTCTATTGACAAATAGAGGTCATTTCCTTTCAAGATCATCTGGCTGAAGGGTCTTGTTTTCTCTCTCTATATGGAATAAGCTACTTCCTGCTTGCTGGTAATTATTTGTGTTGCAAATTGGTTAAGAATTTCTATAGAAAAAAATGGACTGAGAATTTGAATCTTGGGTCTCAATGGTTTCCCTTTACAATGGATTTGAGTTTTGTCATCATTGTTTGGGTGTATATGTACACATTCCCACATACACGGACGCACATATAATAATCTGTATATTCGAGAATTTTTTATATATGTCCAAACTAAATTGAATCACTTATATTGCAGCAATCCAGAATCTCCCATTTCACGACCACAGATTGCTAATGAAGCAAAATATTGTACTCCCGCGAAGCCAAAGACTTGTAATTGCAAGAGTTCTCGATGTCTGAAACTGTAAGCAAATCCTTGTCCATACTTTCTTTTGGAATACACAAACTTTGCTTCCAAATATTTTGGACATCTTTTATTATGGGGATGCCTTTCTCTTGTCCTCTTTTCTCTGAGCATGGAGAATTTCGCTGTAAAATGAGAGAAAACATGAATAATGTATGTGTGTGGGCGCGCGCGGGCGTCTTTAATCACTAGCAGCGTTATAGTACAATTAGGACATTGTTTCCCTCCACTGCTATGTTTAATACATATTTGGGCGACGATACATAATAGTAGAGTCTCTTGATCTGAGAGTGTCCTTGCATTCCCGCCAGAAAAGATTTAATTGATCAAATGGATAGCCGGATTTGCACTTTATCAGCTTCTAATAGTGACAAGAGATGGTGAGAACAATGCATTCATTTATGTCTCCTGCACTATTATTCTCAATGAGGAAACTGACCTTGAAGCTTTTAGGTACTGTGAATGTTTTTCAGCTGGAGTTTATTGTGATGGTTGCAACTGCATGAACTGTCAGAATAATGAAGAAAATGAGCCTACGAGGAAATTTGCTGTTAGAGCAATCTTAGAAAGAAATCCGGATGCGTTTAGACCAAAGATTGCTACCAGTCCTCATGGATTACAAGAAAATGTGGTATGTATCTTTTTGTGAATACGCTTTCTTTGTTATGTCTCTGTGTGTTGATTACATAACTGCTTTATCTAAAAGTTTTGCTGAGTAATAAACACGTTGAAAACAAAACACAGGATGCGGGGGCAATTCAAATCGTTGGAAAGCACAACAAAGGATGTCAGTGCAAGAAATCTGGGTGCCTCAAGAAATACTGTGAATGTTTCCAGGCCGGTGTTTTGTGCTCTGAAAATTGTAAATGCAAGGACTGCAAGAATTTTGAAGGAAGTGAAGAAAGAATGACTCTCTTCCATGGTACCCATGATGCTATGGCCTACATTCAGCGAGCAGCCAATGCCGCAATCAATGGAGCAGTTGGTTCCTCAGGGTATGGGGTCCCTCCAGCTATGAAGAAGATAAAACTCGACAATTTTTCCAGTATGCCCCGTAATGGTAGATCCAGCCGAGCAAGTGCCCGGTATCAGCAGGTCTTTTCTCTTTTGCAACCTTGGCTGTAAAAGTATGTTTCAAAGTGACTACTGCTTGAATAATTCTGTAGAGTATATCTTTTCTAAGATGTACGTGCCATAATCGAGACTAACTGGGAACTATAGTCTTTGGAACTACGCGCAGTTACACACACATGCACACGCAATGTGAGATATGTATGTTTTAAACTGTTGAAACCATGAAACCTGGATTCCATAGACACGTCCTTAACCATATTGTATTGTTGAAGGGATGGTGTGGGCATTTGCCGTGATAATTTGAAAAAGAGAAGGCCCAGTCATTCAGTAGAATTTTGTCCTTTCCTTTGTCGAACTATTTTAGCTATCTAATGAAATCGGTTAAGAAAATTGATGAAAAGCTAAAAGAGAGATCTAGCATGACCATAACATAGATAGTGCTGTAAAGCATATACCTGTGATTGATTGGATAAACTTTTCTTATGACACCCTTGGAGCTAAGTGGGGAAAAAGGATGGAGCAATTGAGGTGCTCGATATTGGAAAAGATGAGTTACAGAATATCATGTGATTATTTCGTGCAGTTCTGATATCCGTTCCTTCTTTGGGTTTAGACTAGTGTTTGGAGATACACAGAATATACAAGATGCGTATGCTCCAAGGATGTTGGAAGCTGTGGAATATGGTATCTGTAAACCGGTCCTTATCCATGTTTCATTCATAAGGGACTTCCTGTACATTATCTGGGGTACAATGGGAAAAAGAGAAGGCACAACTCTATCGCAGGATTTGTCTTTGTCAATTTAATTTAGCTATCTGAGTTTGTTAAGAAGATTGGTGGGAACAAAAGAGAGATTGAAGAAAAGATATTGATTCACACATTCATGTGCCCGTGCATGCACTCACATAGACACACATAAGCGTCTACATTTACGATCATCTGCAAGAGTGGCTTAATGTCCGATTCTGTTTGAAAAGCTCATTTTTGTGAGACAGTGACACATCATTCACATTTCCATGCTTCTTGAGTTCTTAAGAGGACAAAGCTCTTAAAAAAGAACATTTCAGTCGATTGCCAAGTTTAGATTCAAACTCTCTTTCTTTGGATTGAGTATCTCTCTTCTCACTGACCTGTAATGGTGAGTTTTTGCAATTTCTTTAGGAAAGAAAGTCGGGATCTTATGTTGCTGGTGTGGCTTCTTCCCCATCCACATCTACAGCTTACACAGCTAATGCAGCAATGCGAGGACCTTCCAAATTCACACACAGGTTCTACATTGCTTGTTGGAAATTGAACATGTTATGGAATGGGATGATTGTTTTTGTCTAACCAAGCATTGGTGATTTTCACTGAAGATCTCCGCTGGCAAACATGCTTCAACCAGAGGACACGAAGAAATTCTGCTCATTCCTGGTTTCCATCTCTACAGAAGCCAGGACTAGATTTGCAGGTTTCAACTTCTACATGCAATTGAACTGTAGTTTGGCTGTTTTTTATGAACTTTATTTTACGTTTAAGCTTCTAAATATCAGGTTTTACAGCTTTCGCTTACCTTTTGTCTTGCCATTTGTTTAATTTTGTTGTTCTTCACCAGTTAAAGCAGAACTTTTGAGGCTTTCAAGGTGCCAATGCTTAGATCTCTGGATGATTCTATATGTTCTTGGATATTTATAGTTTGCCTGTCTCATTTAGATGGCAATCAAAACTTAGGTTAATGGACATTATTTTGTTTTTATGTTTTTTAATATTTGCTTAACGTCATTGTGGAATATCTATTGAGAGTTGCATTTTTTAAGCTGCCTTTATGCCGTAGTTTGTCCTTATACGTTTTGATGTTTATTTAGTTTTTCTTCTGGGTCAGATTTGATGTTTATTTAGTTAATCACCATGATTTTGTATGAGTTGGATTCGGTTGTTTTGATTTGGTATAGTTTTGTCATCTGAATTTGCCTCGTCACTCTCATATATAGAGAAGGAAGCAAGGACAGATCAGCAGAAAGAAGAGGAAAACATTGAAAACTCAATCCCTTTGTTTGCTAAAGCAATAGAGCATGGTCAAAAGGATAGTGCTGTTCAGAAAGGTGTGAATGATGACAATTTGCATAGGAATCTAGCCGAAAGAGAAGGAACAACTGATCTTGCATCCAGTGGAGAGGCTTTGCAAAATGATCGGCCAGTTTCTCCTGAAACACTTGCATTAATGTGTGAGGAAAAAGATGCTATTCTCATGGCAGATAGACTTGAAAATGGAGTTGATGACCATACTTGTCCCACAAGTGGTAGATTTAATAGTGGAAGAGACCGTACAGGGATCTATGTGGAGCAGGAAAAGGTTGTCCTAACAACATTCTTGCACTTCCTTGACAATCTCATCACTCATGGAAGTAAAGGTAAGTACCTGGATATTCTTTTTTTTCAACCTTTTGGGGTTGTGATGATGTGTTGGCATATTCGAAATAAGCATTTGTTTACAAAAGGGGTCACATATTTGAGACAACTATTAACGGTCATGTACTTCTCGTTCTTAATATTTTCTTGCAGATGATCTGTTTCTGCATATAAATTATTGTTGGCATGGTTGTTGGCTTTCTGTAGTAATTACAACGTGGCATTTGCAGAAGTCCACTTTTTCTATCAATCATGACAGATTTTCTTTGGACTATTATTAATCATTGAGAAGCTTTGCTCAGAAGATTCTGCAATGTCTAATGTTAGATAACTTAGAAATTTTGAGATTTGGTTCTAAAGGACCTTTTGTGGTTGACCTTAAAGTGTAGATACTCTTATTTGAGTCCTACCAATCCAACCTAAAGGAAAATTTCCTTTCCACTATGCTGCAGGCACGTTGTTCAGTCCAGCGCTTCAAATTGAGACAAGAAAACGGCCAGAACTACAAAATAACCACCCAAATGTAGGAAGTGAGCCAAAGAATCACCCTAACCGCAATGGAATGGTAAAGTTTCCTCTTACAGAAACTATAGTGGAATCTCAGTTTGACAGTGGAGTCTCCTGTTCTAAAGAAAATTCAACTTTAACTACGGGATTGGCTACTGAAAATGCTCATCTAAAGTCCAAGATTGAAAATAAGTTGCAATTCGAAGACAACAGCTGATGAAGCACATTTTGGTTTTCATTATGCAGATGCAGTATTTCATTAGCTCCAAAAGATATCCTCTGTCAGAACTAACTATAGCTTCACTCATTTTTTTATTCGTTTTGACGATGGGAAAATGATTTTTCTAGTTTTCCCTTTTTCCCTGATTAACATTTTATATTTAAATTTGCTGATTATTTTTCTTAAGTTCATGCATTATTTACATTCTATATATCTTTCTGGTGGAAAACTCATTATCAGGCTATAGACCAGTAGGCTCAACAAAGAATTTAATTGCACATGATTGATTGTTATTCTTTGTTAAAACTCTAGCAAATGGGTGGCTCATGAAAGGATAAAGCATTGATTTTTACACTGCTAGATTATCGCTACACTGATATTGAAGCCTGTTCTTTTCCTCCATGTGGTGAAAGGAAACCACAGCATCCAATGTGGTTAAGCAGAGATAGTGAGTACTAATAAATGAAGGTCAGTGCATCGAGCGAACAGTGCTTGAGGAGTTCTACATCTAGCATACGGAGTAGAGACGAGCTCAAATATTTTTGGATCGTCCAAAATGCTCGATCGAATCGTTTTAACTATCATGACTTAACTAGTCTATTCAAATGGACCTATCGAGCTTTTATGATGTCCCATGCTTGGGTTCAGTTCCCTTTGTTTTAGTGTGTTCGGAATGAAGTAACACGGTTACAGGGTTGAATTATGGGTCAGTGATATGCAGAAACCAATATACAGAAAGATCTGCGTGTGCAATAGAGTTTTGCTTAATTGAGGATACTATGCCAACAGTGTATTGACTTGCTCATTGACAGCAGGGGCAACTCACAAGATGAGCGAACGTTCATCAAGCTGCCTTAAGCATTCCCCAAGGATTGTGAAAATGATGTGAGCGCCTCTGGTCGAGTTAAAGCAAATTTGCGCGCAGAAAATAAAGGTCTGATTTTGTTAGCAGATTATCAAACACGATCTTCAATCCTCCTTTGGGCACGAGGAAGTTTAACTTCAATCGGCGACATTTTCATCATGGTGGAAGAGGAGCGGAGGAGAGAAGCGGAGATCTAACCCAGATGAGTTCATTAGATACACATTCCGATGTCGAAACTAGAAAGGATGCCTGTGGTCGATTCAAATGTTTGCTTGCCTATTCACCTAAGAAGGCGTAACGGAGAGGAAATGGCAGTAACACTGGCTAGTTCACAGCGTTTTCTTCCCCAGAAGTTGCTTTGTCATAATACATTCGAGTCATACAATTTATCAACAACGACGAGCATACCCTTTCACAAGACCTACGGAAGGAACTACGTAGCTGTACATCATTGTCAACGGTTTGGACATTTGCCTCAAATCCTGTGTCCTATCGCGATTTTTAACTTAATGAAAAGCTGCGTCGGACAGGCGCATAGACACCCGCTCATTTAGCGATTCCCACGTCAAAATCTTTCATGAATCGTGCGGTAGGGGCCGTCTCGGCTTGGCGCTCAGTACGGGACGGGAGTACGGACTGACGAGGATCCTGATTTCATGTCCTCAATGATGGCATCCAGGAGAGACTGAGTTACGGGACCTTCTTTACCTATCAAAGAGAGAATGCGAAATGCAACTAGTAAACACGACGTGTGACACGCGACTGAGACAAGCCAGTGCATCACAGTAACAAAATCTATATCGTGCTTGTGTATTACTGAACTTACCGTCGCCTATCACCTGCTCGTCCCACTGGATGACGGAGCGGACGAGAACTCCGCTGCCGATAAGCATCATTTCTTCCGCTGCTTTTCCTTCCTCTACCGTCACGTTCCCCAGCTTAATCCCCCGAAGTTTACCCTCGTTCACCAGCGCCTCGGCAATGGTCAGGACCCTTTTCGCGGTGCACCCACTGAGGATCTTGTCGAAATGCGGCATCAGGAGTTCCTTCTCCTCCGTGATGAATGCCACGTTCATGTTCGGCCCTTCGGCGATGAACCCTTCGTTATCTAACCATATGGCCGCGTAAGTGCCGTTTTCTTCGGCTTCCATCTTCGACAGCACGTTCGGGAGGTAATTGACACTCTTCATGGTGGCGAACTGAGGAGGCTTTATCGGAACTGACGAAGTAACCACTTTGACACCCCTCGAATCAAATGGTGACTGATCTTGAATCACGATGGCGTACAAAGCAGGCTCGGCGCAACCGGAAGGAGAAAGTTGGAAATCACCGGGGCCAGCCGAAAGCCAGTACCTCAGAGACCCTTTCCTGCACTTGGAAACGCTCACGGTTTGAATGAGGATCCCTTTCATGCTTTCCCGATCGAAGGGAAGACCAATCTTCGCCATGGATGCCGATCTTATAATTCGATCGAGGTGCTGGTCCAGCTCGTAGAGATGCCTGCGATAAGCATGAACACAACACAGAGGAGTTTAACGAGCTACGAACTTAAATTTCAGCTACTGCATCTGTATAATGCGTTGACAGTGTCCTGTCAAATCAAATTCCCGACGCCAGCATGCCGACGGTACAATGCCATTCCTGAACGCGCTCATACTCGAACTCAATTCTTCTCCTCAATTTATGGAGGCAAGCACGGGACTTACCCGTCCATTATCGCGGCGGTGTCGAAGACGCCGTGTCCCCGGTGAACCATATGGTCGTCCATGGGGATCACCATAGCCGCCGGGTCCGTCACGATCCCGCCGACCACGCTCGAGTACATGGCGAGATACTGCTGCTTCCCTTTCCAACCTCTCCGCTTCGCTTGTAGCCGCTCGACAGCCTAGACGCACACACGCACGCACCCAACAACAAAACACGTCAACCCAAATCGCTACGGCTACGACTACCCTCCGCGTTCACGAAGACAAACTAACAGATGTTTACTCCAACTTGACTAGTTTGACTTTTGGCCCCCGTTGATCAAGCAGCCAAGCCACTGGCAAAAGCACCTTGACCAACTACATAAAGCTTGCGAGAGGAAAAATGAAACTAACCTCTGAACCGGTCAGCACCGGCATATCGGAAGCTCCACTGCTATTACCTACAAACGCACCGGCGTCACTCCAAAACCGATCAAAGTCAACTCGAACGCCATCTTATGGTCAAACGGAGAGGATCCAGCATCGAAACAGAGCAACATTCCAGAGAAGAAAACGAACTCACCGACCAAAGTCCGCGCTCCGTGGCAGCTCCTCGCGGTCATCGCCGCCCGCCCGCGAGCCGCGCGCGGGACGGAGAGCTCGAGCGGAGCCGCGCGGGGGCCGGAGCCGAGCGCGCGATCGGCGAGCTTCGCGGCGGATTGGGAGCCTGAGAAGGCGAGGGAAGCCATGGGGTGGCAGCGAAGGACGAAGACGAAGCGAGGTCGCGATCGGAGGAGAAAAGCTGCTTCCGCGACGGGATTCGTAACGCGCAGCTGCGGAGATTCTCGCGCCGGCGAGTGGAAGCCAAGGAGGTGGCGACGGGATGATGAGACAAATTCGCCGGCGCTACAGGACGCTTCCACGTCAGCGACCCGCATTTTGACAAATTTGTTTTGGAAATTTTTTTTTTTTTGGTTTCTTTTTTTTTTTGGTTGTGCGCGCAAAACTGCTCTTTTTCTTGTTAATAAGTTAGCTACTGAGTAGTGTTCAACGCACTTGGCTTAGTAAGCGTATTTAATGAACACCGTTTTGATTTTCTTCTAAAGTATCGATGAAAATTAACAATGGTAAAAAGCTTTTGTATTTGACGGTCGTAAAAATCATCTTATTTCGTTGTTGCTTGACAAATGCCTCTAAAGTATATTTAGAACTTACTCTTTTTTTTTTTTAATAATTCGAATCATCTATGAAGTAAGAAAAATCGTATGTCATGTCGAGAAAGTGGAGTGCCGCTCCATCACCGTCGACAAAGAGTCGATAACTCTTGTCAGAGATCGAGTAAGGGCGGTTGACCTTCTACTGTCTACCAACATGCTGTTTGGGTTGACCATCACTCGATGGTCAATTGAGTCGAGATTGAGTGATAAAGGCAAAATCGATTAAATGAAGGAGCCTTATTGCCCATAAAAAAATCCCATTTGATGAGAATTGGGTGACCAAAAAGCAGACTCATACTTTATTTTCCCTTAAATATAACTCGTCGGACAAACGAGGTAAAAAATTTCCATGTGTTCATGATGAACGGGAATCGAATTATGAGAGTCACGAGATTTATCTGATGTAAGAAATTTAAAGTAGAAGTCATGCCAAACAGACTTAAGTACCCTGGCAATAGAAGAAAGATGTCCTACAAGGCTCGATCCATGACATAAATGGTAGACCTAGTCACCTACCTCGAACGGATCATGACTTAGGAACAAGAATTGCTTTTTATAACATGTTGTAATGCAGTATCAATATCTGATCATGATTTATCAATAGGTACACAATTTTTTTTAGTGTTTTTTTATTAAACATAAACTGCCTTTATCTTCATTAATATGTGTATTTATGTTTTTAAAAATTAAATCCACGAGCCAAGCAAATAATGCTGAAAAATGTCGTGTGCAGAAAAAAGGAAAATCACACAAGTAGTCCTTAAACTTTGATTTAATGTGCAGTGTGATTCATTAACTTTTAAATTGTTCAATGTAGTATTCCGAACTTTCGGTAGATATTTAATTTAGCCCTTGGACTATATGAAAATGCTTATTGTTGTCCATGATATTAAATTAATTGAAAGACTACATTAAATATTTTCATATAGTTCAGGAACAATATTGAACATGTACTAAAAGTCCAGAGATCACATAACAAATATTAAAAGTTCAGAGATCAAAATGAACATTATGTTAAAGTTCATGGACCACATTGCAATTGGGTTAAAGTTTAAGGATCATTTGTGTTCGTTATTTGGAAAAAAAGAAGAAGAAAAAAACTGCAAAAGCAAAAGAGAAAAGCAAAAATGAAGGCACTGCTGAGCCTGACTGCTCTACCTCTTTGGGCCCCAAATTCACGATTCAAAAATTAGGGCTCGCTTTTTTCCCCCAATTCAATCCGACCCCCGCAACGAATCGTCCCCAAATCACCGACCATCGAATTCCGCTCCGACGAAATTCGCTTCCTTCTCTCCATTTCTCGAGCATCGATCCTCGAAAGCTTGAGCATTGGAAGCGATCTTGCTCCTTCAAATCCGGAATCGAGCCGCCGATCGGGTCCCGCAACCCCCCCCCCCCTCCCCCCCCCCCCAAATGGCGATCATCGGCGACGCGCTGCGCCAGGCGTTCATGCCGAAGCGCGAGTACGAGAGCCTCCGCGACGAGGACAAGGCGTGGCTCAAGCTCCAGCGGCCTGCCCTCCTGCTCCTGATCTCCGCGGTCTGCGGCCTGATCTTGGCGTGCACGATCGTCAGCTTGAACATAGTGTTCCCCGGGGACGATAGCGTGAGGAGGCCGTTCTGCGGCGTCCGGAGGGTCCTGCCCCTATCGATCGGCGACAAAGGCGGGGACGCCGAGTCGTTCCCGGGCGCGTTCTACTTGACGGACGCGGAGACGGTCGATTATTTTTGGTTGGTCGTGTTCGTTCCTTCGGCGATCATCTTCGCGGCGTCCGCTGTTTACCTTGTCGCAGGTGAGAGCTTGAGGAAGCTTTTGTGCTCGGGTTTTATCGTTGGAAGTTATTGCGAAAGTTAGCGGTTGTTGACAAAGAGATGGAAAACTGAAGAAATGAGTTGGGTGAATTGAGCGGTTGCCTAGTTATGTCCCAAGGCTTTAAAATTTTGGGTTCAATCTATGTGGTGTCTTTTATGAGAGGTCTTTGGAAGGATAAGGTCGATTAGAATCTGAAATATGCTTCGCTATAGAGAGCCAACCGGAAAATAATGGAGGAAGAAAGGGAATGATGTTGGGGTGGAAGTGAAAGTCATGGATGAGCTTCGAGAAAATAATTGAAGAAGAGATAGAATGTTGTTGTGGATGAGCGTCCCGTAGCCATTGGGATCTTTCTGTTTGAGAAATTGGCTAAGACTGAAAATGCTGCTGTGAATTCTAGTAGGACTTCCTTGCATTCCGTGCAGCGATAAGAGGTAGAACAGGTTGAAGTTGAACTTTGCACGGTGGTCTTGCCACATATGTTCTGCCCGAGTCTTCTATGGTCCTTTGAAATATCGAGTGGACTTGAGACCTGAAGTATTTCTCTAGTTGGTTATCGCTGCTAATGCACCTGTAAGCCCAGGAGCCTTCATAAAGGAACAATGATCTCACTCAACCATTATGGATGGATAGTTCGATCCTTTCACAGCCCTTGTATTATTTGGATTGTTATATGTTCATGGAACTTGACTTAAAAATGCCTAAACGTGAATGGAAATGTGATTTTGAGTAGGTTGATTAAATATTCATTGGCCAATCGGTGCATTGCAAGTCTGCTCTCTATTAGGATCTCCAATGTCGTACCCTCTTGCTAGATGCTTAATTTTCTCCTCATTACTATATGGGATATAATCATCAAGATACATGTGGCATGATCATTTTCAGTGTCTCATGGTTTAAAGTATTCCGCAGGAATCATCATTGCTTATTCTGCTCCAACAAGGCATTGGTGCTTGAAAGTGGTCGAGAACAATTACTGCGCTTCGAGAAGGGGTAAGTGCTATTTTTTCAATCTTGTGGACATGATTTGTCCTCCCAACTCCCGCTTATTGAGAACTTAATAACTATTTGCAATTACTTTTGTTGTTTGTGTGGCAACAAGTTTTCTCTGTTTACTGTCTGGGACTCCAGGAAATTTCTCTTTCAACTTAAATGGATTCTGCCTGCTGTGTAAAATTAAAAAGAAAAAATTTCCCTTGGTGTGCACTGTTTTGACATTTTCGGTTCATATGCAGGTGGGGTCCGCTGTCTTTCGATTCTCAATGTCGTCTTTGCTATCATATTTGGCCTTCTTGCCATATTTCTTGGTTCAAGCCTCCTCACATTAGGCAGCAGCTGTTCGGTGCCCTTGTTTTGGTGCTATGAAATATCAACTTGGGGGCTTGTTGTTTTATACGGGGGGACTGCCTTTTTCCTGAGAAGGAAAGCTGCTGTAATCCTCGATGGAGGAGAATACGGTAGTCGGACCCTTGGTCTCGAAATGCTCGAAGCTAATCCATTGGAAGTCACTCCCGATGTGGAAAGACGTGTCAATGAAGGTTTCAAATCATGGATGGGACCATCCCTCTTGTCCTCCGATGAAGAGGATGAGCCGGAAAGCTATATGGAAGTGCCTCAACCAAATCTCGCCGACTTCAATGGGCAAAGAGTGTGACTTTGGAAAGAAGAGGTGCCTAAATTCAGACTTGATGGCCTTTGCATTTTATCCCGGACCACTGCGGAGCATTATTGGGTTCCGATTTGCTGAAAGCAAATTTGCAACTGATGAACGACGCATCTTAGGTTAGATAAGTTTTGGCAATCCTCGGTCGACTGAGGTCTTGTCTCCGACATCTGGCTCTGACCTGCTCCTCGGGCAATCTCATAGCTTGTGAATAATAAATGATTTTTTGCCCTCACATTTGGAAACAGTCTACTCACACGGTACAGCGGTAAAGGAAGCACCTTTGTGCTGATGGCTTCCGCACTTAATTCATGTTTAGAGTTTTCTTAGGGATAGATAGAAATGAAACGCTGTGCAGTTTATAACCTTGCGTCAGTCTCTGGACGTGGTTTGATTTGCTTTCCGTGGAAGAAGAAGATTGCACCTGCCAAGCTTAAGAAGAGTTAGACTTTGGAAGCTGCAGAATTAAAGCCGCTTAATTTGAGTTTCGCCCTTTTCTTTAAGGAAAGAGATGACTGCTGTTCTGATTCTGTACAGGTAGCTAGGCCTAGGATGATCGATTCCGGTGTGGATAGGTTTTAACTTCTTTTTCAGTTTTTGGAACATAGAATACCTACTTCTTTTTCAGTCTTTGGAACATGGAATTTACCATATTGCCCTGGAACCTACCTTCTTTTTCTAGTCTAGTTCGAGGGGTTACTCGAGAATCGGTGTTTTTTTTTTTGCTTCATTTTTCTTAAAAACCAAGACAAATAGTAGTTAGAGCCGAATAGTATGAGCAACAAAACGACTCAGTAAAATATCGATATAATATAAATAGAGATATAAAGCAATAGGTATGTTAAGCTTATTTAAGAAAGGTAAATCATTTTCTATAAACTTTATAAAATGGGTTCTAATCGGCGGTTCCTTGGTGGGTGGGTAGGTGGGTTCAGCACCTAGAATCTAGAACTTACTTGCAAAGAATCGGTTTTAGATTTTTGGAACTAGGAATGGGATTTATTTCGTTTGGAACCGGGAACCGGACCTGTCCTATAGCTGGTTAGGTCCGGTTCTATCGGAAACCAGCCCGGTTGTATATCCCTATAAGTAGCTACTCTCAAACTCATCTAATAGTCCAATTCAATTTCATCTATACTACCGATTAATTAAATAATAAGACTTATATTTTCGAGGGAATCATGGAAAATTGTTATTTTGCAGAAGTTTTTATTTAAATCCATAAACTAATGTCATCTAGAGATTCAAGATCTCATCCGCTTACAAACCACGCGGGCACGCTCCACTGTTGAGAAATACCATGTCGTGTCGGACTGAATATAAAAGGAATAGGCAATAGCAATGTTGTACCGACAGATTGAGTGAAATTTGCAAAAGTAAATCGAGGAAATTTAAAAATGAAGTAGTCAATGACATGACGTAATCGTGTCTAGTGCGACCCAATTAGGTTTTTAATGACGTCATGTTATATTTATAATGACATTTCGTGTTAGTATCAAAACATCATAGATTTCACATAACAAGCCAAATAAAAAAATCATGAATAAAGTATATTGATTCGGACCAATTTATGTGCTATTTGATGTCATATTCAGATTTTCTCTTCTTATATCGTATTTTATTTCGTACCATATTTGTTCCTAGTCTTGTATATTACTACGGATGTACCACGAACTGGACTAGCAGATTCTTGGCTGTTCTCAATTCTAAGTGCGGAGCCACACCGCTCGGGCCGATATATTTTTCTTTACCTATTCTTTTAAAGAATAAAGAAAAGGAAATTATCAAAACCCTGAATTAGATCGGTCCAATTTGGAAACCGGACCAACCCGAAAATAAGACCGGAACCGATCAGTCCTATCCGGTTCCGAGCCGTATTGGTCCGGTTTCCATTTCTAGGCTGGAACCGGCTCGACCCGGGAACCGACCACCCCCAATATGTTACCATGCCTTAGGATGTAGTTACTAGGCCCACTTTTCAAACTGGGCTTTTTTGTCCAAGAGACGAGCCCAAGTCTCCATATCCAACTCCATCTTCATCTTCATCTTCATCTTCGATCCCTCCCTCCCCAAAACCCTATTCTCTCTCTCTCTCTCTCTCGTCCACGCACCGCTCTGTTCAACGATGGCCGCCGCCTTCGAATTCGACGAGACCCCCGGCAACTACGACGATGGCCACCGGCAGCCCCAGGCGCCGCCGCAGCCGGACGCCGGGTACGACCCGAACTTCGTGCCCGACTCCGTCAAGTCCTTCGTCGTCCACCTCTACCGCCACATCCGCGAGAAGAACGTGTACGAGATCCACCAGATGTACGAGACCTCGTTCCAGACCCTCTCCGACCGCCTCTTCAAGGAGACCCCCTGGCCTTCCGTCGACGCCGTCGCCCACTACGTCGACAACGACCACGTCTTCTGCCTGCTCTACCGCGAGATGTGGTTCCGGCACCTGTACGCCAGGCTCTCGCCGACGTTGAAGCAGCGGATTGATTCGTGGGACAATTATTGCAGTCTCTTTCAGGTACGGGTGGCTTCAGGGTTGATCGTTTCTGTAGCTGGAGATGATAAATCGAGTGTGCGGGATTGCTTCAATAGGTCAATCTTAAAGAAGGGGGCGATGTATTCGTATGTGTCTGTCCGTGTGTTTGTGCGTGCGTATGTATGTGTTGCATTACCTTAGCTTCTTAAATCGAGTGGCACTATGAATTTCTCCGAAAGTTTCATCTTTGGAGAATATGTTGGCACATGCTATATACCTTGTAGTTTGGAGGTTCTTTTAGGTGGGCTTTTGCTGTGTGAAGTAGTTAGGCACTTGGGGTGCAGCTTACGGAGTATTTTTGACGAGACATTCGGCTCGTATTGTAAGGCGTGTGTCTTGTATTCATGATGGACACCAGTATTTTCTTCTACTACTGTATGCATGCCCTTGAAAGCAGGATTTTGTCCCAGTTAAAGTTTCTTTTCATTTTTGCTCCTTGTCAAGAGGATGCGTATCTATTGGTGTGGGTATCTTTGTTAGCATTGAAGCTGAACCAGAGGAATGACAGTTTTGGGATTCTTTTTTTTTTTTTTTTGGTGTCACATATCAGGTAGTCTTGCATGGGGTGGTGAATATGCAGTTGCCGAACCAGTGGTTGTGGGACATGGTGGATGAGTTTGTTTACCAGTTCCAGAGCTTTTGCCAGTATAGGGCGAAGATGAAGAGCAAGACTGAGCAGGAGATTGCACTATTGAGGCAGTATGATCAGGTAATTGTAATCGGGAAACATTATGAAAATCAGGACTTTCCTCTCTTAATTTGCATGTTCTCTGCAGTGTTTCTGACACTGGACTACACCGGTCACCCAACTGGGAAGAATTTCATGGTCCGGTCCTTTTTTTTTTTTCAAATAAATCGTTTAGATCAATAACTGGTCAAGTGCAGTTGACCTGGTCAAACCGGCAATTCAACAGGGAAAAACCGAATTGGATTGCTTCATATAGACTTGCTCATAAAAGATAAAGTGGCAGCTTTCATAAGATGGGATCAGAGGCTTTCCACTATACAACGTTGTGGAGCTCCAACCTCTAAGCTATAGTTTATCTGTTTGTTATTTTTTACCAGAAATATACGTAAAGCTTTTTTGTGATCTTAGAAACAAATAGCTAGCTTGATAGATGCAATCCAAAAGACCCGCACCTTACAATTATGGCTAGTGTGTCTTTAACCTGCTGAACTAGAGAACACTGTGGCATACGCCACCATAGTTTTGCTTTTAACACATGAACTAGTAGATGAAGTCAGCATCTAATGACCTGGCAATGCAACCAGTTGAAGTGGTTGACTTGTGAACTGCTTCCCTGACTGGTTCTAAAGACCGGGGCTGGGTTAAAAAACTCTGGTTTTCTGTTGTGAACTGTGATAACTGGGTTTCACTTCTATGAAGCCTATTCTCAAGTTTAAATTCTGTCAATGGAGAGTTTCTCCTTGAGTCAATTGAAAGGCGTACACTCAAATGCAAGCTCATCTCTATAGTATGCCTTTGTTTCTGCAGATTTATTAAATGCTGCTGTTGCCTGTTTATTATATATGTCAGTAATATAATACTTTGTTGCAGGCTTGGAATGTGTACGGTGTGCTCAATTTTTTGCAAGCACTTGTGGAGAAGTCAATGATCATTCAGATCTTGGACCAGGAAAAGGAAGGCCTTGAACAATTCACTGCCACTGATGGGTATGATTACAATGGTGGGAGCAATGTGTTGAAGGTGCTTGGTTACTTCAGCATGGTGGGATTGCTACGAGTTCATTGTCTCTTAGGTGACTATCAGACTGGCTTAAAGTGTTTACTCCCAATTGACATTAGTCAACAAGGCGTTTATACTAGTGTCATTGGAAGCCACATTACCACTATTTATCACTTTGGGTTTGCCAATCTTATGCTGCGGAGGTAAATTTCTCTTGTTATCTTCGATTTTGTTTGCTAGCTTTTCAGTCTCTCGGTTTTGAGCCAAATATGTACACAATTCTTAATAGGTATGTTGATGCAATTCGAGAGTTCAATAAAATTCTCTTATACATCTATAAGACAAAGCAATACCATCAGAAGTCCCCACAGTATGAACAGATACTCAAGAAGAATGAGCAGATGTATGCCTTGCTGGCTCTTTGTCTTTCACTTTGTCCCCAAGTAAAACTTGTTGAAGAGACTGTGAACTCTCAGTTGCGAGAGAAATATGGTGAAAAAATGCTCAGAATGCAGAGATATGATGATGAGGCTTTTGTCATCTATGATGAGCTCTTCTCATATGCCTGTCCTAAGTTCATCACACCCTCATCTCCAAGCTTTGAGGAGCCTCTTGTAAACTACAATCAGGTATGTAACATATAACTTTATCTTTTGGGAAGCGGTATTCAGTGGTTATTTGGAGCTTCCTCTTATGCTTTAAGTGCATCTAATCTTACTGAAGAGTTGTTTAGCTGATATCTGTTTGGCTATCTATGGCATTGACAAAATTTATATGAGGCTGGATTGCATGGATAGATTAAGGGTCATATCATTGCCTTGTGCATTGCGCAAGGCTGCATGTGCGTATGTATAGGTACACCTGTGGTCATAATGCCGATACTCGTGCTGGGAAATATTGATTCTCTTTTCGTGCGTATTTTGTCTTGAAAGCAGCGTTCTGTGCAATCTCATCTGCTTTTTCGACATGACTAGTAACTTGCTATACGCCTCATGCATCAGTCATCAATTTTTGCAGGATGCCTATAGACTTCAGTTGAAGCTTTTCCTTTATGAAGTGAAGCAGCAGCAACTACTCTCAGGTGTTAGGATTTTCTTGAAGGTGTATTCAACAATCTCATTTGCTAAGCTTGCAAATTATATGGAAGTGGATGAACCCACTCTACGGTAAGGAGTAAGATAAATATTGTTTTTGCTTTGTCCTATATAGTTGTCTTATCTATGGGTTGCTTTTTTTTGTTGCAGAACTATATTGATTACATATAAACACAAGACACATGCTGTCGATGCAGATGGAAAGATCATCTCAAATGCAGATATCGATTTCTTTGTAGATGATGTAAGCCTGTCAGCTTTCTGCTACCATGTTCTCCTGATCGGCATACAGGCTTTTTTATTTAATTCTACTCGCAAGAAATTCATTTTTTGGAATAATATGCTATTCTTTTCTGCTTAATTGTAGAAACTGTTAAGATTATTTAGGCTAGCAATGTGGTGCAAAATTATCCTTCTTAAGAGTGACATTGGAGTTGCCATTGGAAACATATTTAGATTTTTTGGATGCCTTTGCCCAAACCTTGTGTGCATTATGGTCAGAAATGTCACAATCAATTGTATAGGTTCTTTAATATTGCATCGAGGGTGCAGCTGATAGGGAAAAAATTAGCCATAGTTGTAACTTGGGAAACTCTTCTCGGTTTGATATTTGCTGTCAATGATTTCTTTCCCATAGATTTGGAGCTCATATGTCATGTTAATGCAGGACATGATTCATGTTGTTGAATCCAAACCTGGAAAGAGATATGGAGATTATTTCTTGCGCCAGATTGTCAAGGTACGTGCATACAACTTTATTTTCATGACAATTATTAGCCGTGTAGGTGGACTTTATTTCATGATTATATATTTTTTCTTTGACAGCTTGAAAGCATGATGAATGACATGGACAGAGTTAAGCTGGAATAACTGCACTGTCTTCTTGATTTGTCTGTCCCCTCTGCCGGCTCTCTTTCTTTGAAGGTCGGCATTTTTTTGGCGCTGCGATCAGCCTTTTTTCTGTAGTTTCTAGTTTGACTGCACTGGGTCTCCATATGCTAAGAGTCACAGGAAGTATGGAGACGTCGCTGAGTCGATGTGCCCAGAGTTATCTATTCTAAATTTATTTTTTTGGCATTAATCGATGAGCTTCTGACCAGTACAGTTGACCAAGCTAGTGTCATCTTTTGTATCTGCTGTTACATTAGAAACTTGAACAGGTAGAAACACAGGAGCCAACTACACGGCCTTTACATCATGAATTATGGGTTCACGGGCAAACACAGCCCCATGCAGGTGGGGCTGGGAGTATTATTGCATGTTAGACGGATAAGGCAAAGGCCCCCATTCGTATGTGACGAGGTGGGGCTGGGAGTATTATTGCATGTTAGACGGATAAGGCAAAGGCCCCCATTCGTATGTGACGAGGTGGGGCTGGGAGTATTATTGCATGTTAGACGGATAAGGCAAAGGCCCCCATTCGTATGTGACGATGATGGTTTATCAGCGTGGAAGGAAGGACATGAATTTTTTAATAGGATTGATGTAGATACGGTTGGTCGTTCCCTATGGCGTTCGTGCTTTTTTGTCATTTATTCCCTTTTGGTTTGCGAAGGCGACAACCAGACGTGCTACATTTCCTTCGTTTGTCGTGTTTTTTAGACAAAGCCTACTTGGTTTAAACTGATCAGCCGATGGGTTTGATTGTTCTCCGATATGGTTTTGGATAACAGATCGGTTGGATCGTGTGCGGTCAGACATGGGGTCGTGCGACAAAGACGGTAATATTAAACGATGAAAATGTTTTGTGAAGTGGTTGTATTATATTTGGCATTATATTTCGAAGAAATTACAGCTGCAGCAGGTTCTGCAGTATTGACAAAAGGATCGATTCCCTGTCCGTCGTGCCGCTGCGGCTTTTGTTTGCCTGCTTTTGGCCGGCCATCATTCGACTTAGGAACTTAAAAGATCATGTCGTTCATAACCAGGGCCGGTGTCAATTGCACGACCAATGATTGAGCGACAGCTGGTTTGATTGTTTCCCACTTATTACGTACCTCCGTCACTTGATCTTCTTCCCGGTTGGTGGCCGGTTGGTGGTTCGACGAGACCCATCCTCATACGACAACGCGTTTTGAGGTGCCGAGCAATCACCATTTCGGCTTGTCCCGCCAGTACAAGCACCAACACCAAGTGTGATTTCGTTGGACCCCAAAAGAGAATGTGAAAATTTGCTTCCATGATGATCTTTTGAAAAGTTTCTCTAACGACAGGATTTGCCATGACTCCACCCGCTCGACTGTGGCCGAAACGTGCACCGAAAGTCGCATCCGATGACATCCGTCTTTGCATTACTTGTAAATTTCGTCTTTGAGAGTCTGTCCGTCACGTTGATTACCCTTTTTCTTTCTTGCGATTACGTGGCTCTTGGAATTGTTCTGACACGTGATGGGTGTACTACACCGTAATCACTGACTTTTCGTTTTGCGTAAGAAAGCCGTGTGATTGTCTCGTCTTTCGACGTTTTCTCATGCGAGATGGAAGCATTCGGTAGAAAGAAAAATGATGAAGCTAAAAAAATTTCATATCTATGTATAGTGCCATGTAAAAGGAGATGGTACGTAATAATAACAATAATAATAGTATACCGGGGAGAAATTTGAGAAAAATTATCTCTACTTTATGTTCTCACGTCAACTTATCCCGAGTTTTGAAAATTTATAATTTGCATCTCCAAGCGAAATACCTTTATAGGCCGTTTATAACAACCACGGCGTATTCCTTTGCGTTTACCATCTCTAGCCCCATCGAGGTCGGAATTGGGATTGCCATTGACGCGATGACGGAAGGCCGGGTTGCCGATTTGATCTACGCCAACTCCATGGGCCTCGCCTGCAGGGTGTTCGTACACTTCGCCATCAACTGTCTCATCGCCAAAGGGTTCAAGCCTGAAAACAAGTGCGTCTTTGGCCCTCCTTTCTACAAGTTCCTTGCGGTGCTTCTTGGGGTGGCCATTTGTTTCGTCGGAATTGCTTCCGCGATGAAATATAATTCACTGAAAGTCGTTCTTCGGCTTTTAATGAAAGGAGACCAGGTTTTGTGGCGATTCCGGACAAGAAATATCCAGGAAGACAAGAAAATAACTGCGAACTTCAAACTGGACTATAGGTACGGACCATGTCGGAATTTAATCGACGATAAAGCTTGAATATACAGCCACACACGTACACAAAGATGTAACGCTGGAATTTAATAGACGACGCAACACCCGGGATAGAGATACACGCTGGAATTTAATTGACAATGCGAATCGAAAAGCTACAGCTAAGGAAAGATAAAGTGCAGTACAGGAAAGTAATGATAATTGAAAGATAACATGTTATTTGATTTATCGAGGGGGCTCTCTAGTAGATGGCCGGTGATATTTATAATGGTTGTGTGGTAACTGCTCCTTAGCTGTTTCCAACAGTTGTGCCCATGTTCTTCCATTCCGAAAATCTTGTCTTCATGTCAATGTAATGCTTCATGCTTTGAAGATAACTATCTCACGATTTTGTCTACAAGTGATAACTGCCTCATGATCATGCTTCCAAATAACTATTTCCTCGAAATATACATGCGTGCTCCTTAGCGGTTTTTCAATGGTTGCGTTGAGTCTACTACCTTGATGGTTTATTTGACTCCACTACATTGGCGGTTGCTTTGACTCCATTACATTGACGGTTACTTTTTCGACAGTTGTATTTGAGATTGTCGACTCTACTTTTGGTCGATTCCTTCAAGTTCGCTATTCTTCATTGAAGTTCTTATCCTATTTCCGCATTCTGACAAGTCATGACCGCCCACTTCCTTCCAAAATAGATGACTCTACAGTACTTTTCTGAGAAAACTCAAAGCATAAAAGTTGTAGATCCATAAGTCTTCGTTCTTTTGGCTTTGAAATCAGGTCAATCCGATATGTATCGATAAAGCTATGACCATTTTCCCGAACTAGCGCAGAACTGAAATTTCTGCATTCTAACCAGTCACGACCGTCCACTTCCTTCCAAAATAGACGAATCTACAGTGATTTTCTGAGAAAAATAAAAACGTAAAAGTTGTATATCCATGAGTCTTTGTTCTTTTGGCTTTGGAATAAGGTCAATCCAATATGTATCGATAAATCTATGACCATTTTCCCGAACTAGTGCAGAACTGAAATTTCTGCATTCCGACCAGTCACGACCGTCTGCTTCCCTCCAAAATAGACAACTCTACAGTGATTTTCTGAGAAAACTCAAAACGTAAAAGTTGTATATCCATGAGTCTTCGTTCTTTTGGCTTTGGAATCAAGTCAATCTGATATGTATCGATAATGTTATGACCATTTTCCCGAACTGGCGCAAAATTAAAATTTTTGCTCGTTTTCTTGATCTTGTCGATAATAACAAAAAATGGGTCATTTTTGGATGTAAACGTATACACATGACACATGCCTCTGACATGTGTCCCTTATGTTAGCAACTTGATAATATTTGCTTCCACGTTGCCTCATGCCTCTGCCATGTGTCGCTTGATGATCTTTGGTATAAACACTCATCGACCACAACTGAACTATCATCGATGTACTAAATGGATATCACTTTCTACAATCGTTGATAACGGGACGTGTAATTCATGCCTCTGTCATGTATTTCTCATGTCGATAAGTTTGGCCATTTTTTGGTGTAAACACCATTATAGCAATCTATCCTTTAATCTCATATAGACCCAAAAACTATTCACCACTCCATCCACGGCCATACCAAAGATCGACTCGTTTGTGTCAAGCTCGATAGCAAATTTAGGTTGAGCTCGACAGTCGAGCTCAATGGCAGTGGAGCTAGGCCAAATCTAGGTCAAGCTTAAGGCCTACCAAAGTCGATAGGTCGCGGCTCTGTTGGGGTGGCAATTGGCAACAGCATGGCAAGCATCGGGGACACTTGGGAGGAGTGGGCCAAAGTAGTAGGTGGGTGGATGTGGGAAAAATTACCAAAAGAGTTTTAAACCTATTACAATTATGTCAATTCAGTCATAAATTTTTTTTTTGTACCAATTCGATTTTAAATCTTTTGTATTTGTACTAATTCAGCCCATCCGGTCAATTTTGATCGGCCGACGCTAACATGGATGCTAACCGTACTACGTGGCGCAGCCGGCACTGACGTGAACATTTTTTGATAATATTTTAATAATTTTTTGAATTACTTATTTATTCATTTATTTTTCCTTTTTTATTTACTTTCTCTTTCTTCTTTTTTTCCTCTCTTCATCTTCAACCTCCAGTCAGTCGCCGGAACTCGGCGACCAGCTAGAGGCAAGGGCCGACGAGGCTCGATTTTGGGCGATGCTCGCCCTCGTCGTCGCTAGGCCAGGTCGAGCCTTGCCAGGGGCGGGTGAGGCTTGCCCTCGATAGTGCCCGGTGGGGCCAACCACACTGGCCCTCGCCTCTGGGCTAGAGGTTGAAGATGAAGAGAGGAAAAAAAATAATAGAAAAAATAAAAGAAAAAAAGGGCAAAAAGAAAAAAGAAATAATTTGAAAAATTATTAAAAATTATCCACGTCAGCTCTGGCCACGCCGCATAGCTAAGGGAAAATTGTCATATCAGTCATAAACCTATTGTACGGCGGCCAATTCAGTCCTAAACCTTTTAATTTTGCCAATTCAGTCCTAAACCTTTCTAATTCTTGCCAATTCAGTCATTCCGGCCAATTTTGGCCGGTCGGCGCTGACGTGGCCGCCGGCCGGCGCCGGCCGTCCGGCCAACGCTGACGTGGCCGCCGGCCGTCCGGGCAACGCTGACGTGGCAATTTTTAAATTATTTTTTTAAATTTTTTAATCTTTTTTTTTCTTTTTTTTCTGTTTTTTTTTTCTTTTTTCTTCCTCTGGCCGGTCCGGCGACCGGTGACCGGCGGCCGGCCAGAGGGGAGGGCCAGCGAGGTCGACCTCGCCGGCCTCGCCGTCGCGACCCAGGCGACGGTGAGGTCGGCCTCGTCGCTGCTGGGCGAGGCGAGGCCCAGCAGCGGCGAGGTCGACCTCGCCGGCCCTCCCCTCTGGCCGGTCGCCGGACCGGCCAGAGGAAGAAAAAAGAAAAAAAAGAAAAAAAAGAAAAAGAAAGATCAAAAAATTTTAAAAAATAATAATAAAATTGCCACGTCAGCGTTGGCCGGCGCCGGCCGGCGGCCACGTCAGCACCGGCCGGCCAAAATTGGCCGAAAGGACTGAATTGGCAAGAATTAAAAAGGTTTAGGACTGAATTGGCAAAAATTAAAAGGTTTAGGACTGAATTGGCCTCCGTACAATAGGTTTAGGACTAATTTGACAATTTTCCCGGAAAACTGACGTCCATGTCAGTACCGGCCGGCCAAAATTAGCCGGATGGACTAAATCGTTACAAATTCAAAAGGTTTAAGACTCAATTGACAAAAAAAAGGTTTAGGAATGAATTGACACAATTGTAATAGGTTTATGACTGTTTTGATATTCTCTCGATAGATGTGTTAGGGTTTCGAGCAAGTGATTTCCATTGTGGGTGGATTTCAAACCATTGAAGGGGCAATGTTGAAAGGAAAATAACAAGTCCATAAATAGGATTAAATGTTACCTGAAACTTCGGATGTTAATTGTAGGTTTTCAAAACTTAAAATACAAATTGATATGAGGATGAAATAGAAGAATGTTTTATTGTTATATTATCATCATTAGCATCGATATACACTTCTTTATGTTCATGCAAGTTTCCTTAGCGTGAAACCTTTTTCCAGCGAAAATATAGTGATACAAGGATTGTAAGTTATGGAAGGATCAAAATTGGGAGTAACGCTAGTAGTATATATGGGAAAAGTTTTCACTATATTTCAAACGATGGAGCAATTCCAATTCCCATGGCATCTTGTATAAAGACAAAAGATAGTGGGACGCACGGACATCCAGCTTTGTGGAAGAGCTCTCTATAAGATAATGGAAGGTATAGCCGATTTAGTCCCAAACCTTTTATCAATTTGTTAATTTAGTCATTCCGATCAATTTTTGCAGGAAATCGTTGATGTGATGATCTAGTCTATGTCAGCCGTCTTATGTAGTATGACCAGCGTAAACATGAAAAATTTTGAATTTTTTTATAGTTTTTTGAAATTTTTTCTTTTCTGTCTTTTTTTTTTCCCCTTCTTCCTCTAGCTAGTCGCCAGGCTAGAGGCAAGGGCCGGTGAGGTTGATCTCGGATGAAAGGGGCAGGCGAGGCTCGCCATTGCCGAGTTGTCGAGGTCGACCTCACTAGTGGCCAATGAGTTCAAGGCATGGTGAGGTCAATCTTGCCCAATGATAGTGAGGCTCGGGGGTGGGCGAGCCTCGCCCGAGACCGGCAAGGTCAACCTCGCCAGCCCTCACCTCTAGCTAGTCACTGACCATCGCTGAGGCTTGGTGGCCGGCTAGAGAAAGAAGAGAAGAAAAAAAAAAAAGTTCAAAAAATTGTTGTGCAACATAAGACGAATAATTTTGGTAATTTTCCCTGAACTCATAGTATTATTTTGTATTGACACAATTAAAAAGTCGATGATTAAATTGACACAAGTGTAATAAGTAAGAATTTTTCTGATAATTTTCCCGAAATTCATCGTGCTATATTGTAAATGGCGATGACGATTTCTCCGTATTCTTCTTTCCAATTCAATGACCAAAAAGGCTTCCCCACCCATGCGTGCGTAACTGTGCTCCCCCAGATACGATCTCGGGCTCAGATCCCATCATTCTTCTATCCCTCTCTGTGAAAAACAAACAATAAATTAACAGAGGAAGAAGAAGTGGAGAAGAAGAAAGAAGCTGGTGGTAAGTCGCGCTGCGCGCATGCCCCTTCCCACCTGCTCACTTACCCCCCAGGACCCCTCCCCACCCACCAACCGCTTCCTCCTCCACAAGCCCCAACCTCGATTTTCTTGCTCCGGTTTCTCCCTCCTTGTCTTGGGTGTCCAAGAAAGATCTGATAAAAAGCAGAGACACCCATCTCTCTCTCTCTCTCTCTCTCTCTCTCTCTCTCTCTCTCGGTCTCCTTCCCAGTTCTCGCGGGTGCTATGGCGCGGTGCGCCAGGTGTTGCATTCGCAGCTCCATGAGAGCGATGAACGTGATCGTGAACCTCTGCGGGGTGGCCATGATCATATACTCCCTCTGGCTTGAGAAGATGTGGGACGACGGTGTTGCTCTGCTTCCCTCTGTCGCCAATCTCCCTCGACCATGGTAAAGCACTCAAGATAATGGGAAAAGAAAAGATTCAAAACTCTCCTTTCGAATGCAACTTGAAGTTCTCGGTTTAATCTCAAGTGGGTGTCTGTCTTGACGTTTTTCTTTCCGAATGCTAAAGTAGAAATTACCAAATTCGCTGCAGAGCATATCATACGGCAATGCTTGCGGTTTCTTCCGTTTTGCGTTTGCCTCTTTTCTTGAATGAAGAAGCCCATCAATTTGTTTGTGATAGGTTGTCATCGTCAAATGTCTGTCAATGTATCAGAGCTAGTTCAATTCTTTCTTTCCGAATTTCTGGGAAGCAGTCCTCATTTTTTCTAATACCCGAGGCGTGGGTTGAAGTGCCGGAAGAAAATTTAATCGCGAAAAGATATCTCAGCAAGTTACTAATGGATAAAGATGTCTCATCGAGTTCGTTTTCTTGATAACATAATGCCCACTCTGAGAAAGAGGAACATTGCTTCATTCTTGTATAACGTTCTTTTTGTTCGATGCTATGGAATTGTTCAATGAAGATTGTTCTTCCTTCTAACAGGTTTATATACACATGTTTAGGCGTCGGTATCGCTGTCTGCTTGAGCATGGTCTTCGGCCACGCGGTTGCTAATTGCATCGGCAATTCTTCTTTGTGCATTGTATCCTTCCCAATCATTTACTCTCCCCTTGCGCGAATTTACTTTCCTTGAAGCTCTAATACTTTTGTCAAATTTGGTTAATTCGATATTCTTATTAGCCTTCGAGAGAACCTGAGCTTCTGTCAAGTGTCCGGTGTATTTGATCTTTTCTGCAGTTCACTCATGGTAATTCTTAACCGATTATTCAGTACATCATCACTTTGTTATCCCTACTTTTTCTTGAAGCGACAGTTCTGGTCTTGATATTCTTCAAGATGAATTGGGAAAAGGTATGCTCTCTCAAAACTTTTCATGGTTTAGCTTGTTTTTAGTAGTACCTTGTCAATAGCGCTTCTCATGCCTTATCCCTGAGATATGATGGAAATCTCATTGGACATGCTACGATTTTGGACTTGGTGGAAGCTAACATCGGGAGGAATGTTCGATGAAAAGGAAAAACTTAAACATTTGTGGCAGAAAAAAGTGTTAATTAGGTGACATGATCCTACATGACCGTGTTCTGCATATTCTTGGTTGAGTACAGATTATATTTCTCACGGTCCATGAGGCTAATTTAACCTTTACGAGAATGTAAGATATCCTTAATCCGCTCTCGCAGTTCATACGTCAAATGACTAGTTGGATATGCTCAATGAAATTAAATTCTTGATGACGGTCCGTTCTTGACAGCCTTGACTCTTGAGTTCATAAAGTTTGGCCATTTTGTAAATTGAAAGTCTTAACAGTTCAGATTCATGGTATCTTGAAGCCTGTTGTCATATTTAGGTCCCGTGCTTTCATCACGGAGTCCCAACCATGAGCTTCCACATCTCACTGAAAGCTGATTCTAGTTTTAGTTTCAATCGATGGGCCTTGGTCCCGTTTAATACCTCTTCCTTTTCTTTGGCTTTATGCACAGCTAATTTCGGAGTATATTGATAAGCACAACGAGAAGTTCAAGACTTTTGTGGTCTTCCACTTAAAAATGTGTCGCCTGATTGTAATCCTGATTTTGATGCTACAGGTAACTGATTCTTCTCTGAATAGGATGACTGTAAAACTCTTATATCCTTTCTGATTTTTGAAAGAAAACGTCTACCATGAATTTAAAAAGAACGAACCTTTAACAATATCAAACAGAAAGTAGACAATCATCTCTAATTTGATCTTTACTGCATTGAGATCATTACTGTTTACTTTTGCGATCGGAAGAATAGCAAGTGACTACCGGAAGAATCCGTTAATGTGTAACAAGGTAAGGATAAGATGGTGAACAAGCATGCGGTCATATCACAAGCTTGACCAAGTATGCCGAGTCCATTCTGTGTGGTTACATATAAAATCTTGATAAAAAATGGAGTTTCCATCTCCTTCATTGTCCTGTCAACTCCTTTTGGACCTAATTTCCTGATGAATTCTAATTTTTTCGCTATTTTCTAAGGTATTTTACCTCTTTATTTGGTCGCTTGAAGAACTTTCTGTCTTGGCATTCTGTACGAATTTAGAATCTTTGTTAGCAAACTGTCAAAAAAATGTGGTTTAAACCTAGTATGTTAATTGTTTCTCGGCACTGTGTTCCAGCTATACCATCTGACACTCTGGTTCATCTGAAAGTGAGAGCATTTGGCGCTAAAACTCACTCCCTTCACTCTCCATGTTTCGCAGATCATTGTCATCGTGTTTGCGGTAATCCTCTGGGCCGTTGGTACCGGACCAAGGACCGATCAGACACCGGATGTCAGGAGTTTGAGACAATCCTTTCTGGTCTGGCCCAGCTCACCGGCGCTCGTGGAGAATTCGGAAAATTGCAGAAGATGCGGAGAATTGAACAGTAGGAATCCGCTCCGAAACTTGGTGTCATATCTTAAAGGTGTAATCATGACGAGATTTCACCGGACACCAACGAATGATGATTGATTCTTTCGTCTCTAGATGAACCGATCAATTTGCAGCAAGCTCATCCTCCACAGTTTCAGAAGCAGTACTAGAGGTGGTGGAAGGTGTATGTGCATCAAAACCCAGATGAGGAGAAACTCTGGAAGTCAGTCTGGCCGTGATCACGGCACAAAATAGAGGCCATCGTGAGCTATCCTTCTCACTCATGTTTCGGCATCGAAGAAATGGGGTTCTTGCAAGCTGCAGACTTATCGGCTCGGCACATCGACTCGGAACGCAACTTCCCTGTCTCTCTTTCTAATTCTCGAAATGTAATACATCGTCCCGATCGTTCGCGTCATCGGCGGTTGCCGGAGCCGCCCTAAAAGGTGGAGCTACAGTGGGGGGGAGAGTTTCCTAGTTCTCGTGAGACATCCTTCCTTTTGAGCACGGGAATCAGTAGTACCAGGAAAATGAGAGTTTGGGTTTGCCTCTTCTGATCCGACGCACGCTCCAAGGTACATACAGACAGTTCCTGCCGAAAACGAGGGAAGTGGACAATGGTCGCATTGTCGAAATTCATGTCGACATGAGATCGGGATGGAAGATTGCTTCTAACGTAGGGGCCCAAAAACAGCCAAGGCCCAAGAGCTAGAGCGAGGGGGGTGGTGGTGCCCTCCTCCTACACGTCCAATCGCTTCATCTTGATTCTTGTGCCAAGTTTCGCATTTATTAAGGTTTATCTCGTGGATGTGGTTCCCTATGTCATATACATTCTTAACATATGTATATGTATGTATATATATACATACATACATACGTATATATCTCCTGTCATATGTAAGTACACGTAGGTCCATACGTAAACATACGTGCCCGTCATCGAAGCTACCCGAAGTCCCACCGGTGTGCGAGAATTTATAGCCTCAATGGCTCGTGAGAATGTTCAGGTCTATTTTCAAACTGTTGAAACACTAGCGAAACGACAATTCCAGCGTTTTTGCATTCCGGATAAGGAAAGGGAATTAATGTTTAAGTCTTTTATTTATTCATATATTCTATCTACTATCAATTATTTTGAGGCTGGGCAAGGGAATGAGAAATAGTGCAATGGATGAAAACTGGTCGAAAACCAAGCAAATATTTTTTTTTTTTTAATCACGGTATGGATTAAAAAATTATAAGGTATTAATTTAATACAACTTGGAATGAAATGGCAATCCGCCGAGATGTGGAATTATTTCCGACGGAAGCTGGTACTAAGAGGTGCAGCTGACTAGGGATGCGTGCTCCGGGTGGGCCCGTCACCTTAACAAAGTTAACAGTCGCCGACGCCAGCAATCACTCGCCGCGTTAACTCCTTTTTTAAACGCTCCAAACTCCGCAGCCTCTTCACCGCACGGCACGGCACGGAACAGCACCGCACCGATCGAACCCCCGAAAGATGAACCCACGCCGCTCTTCTTCTTCTCCTCCTTCTCCGAGCGATCGCAGGCTGAGCGCGCTCGCTCGCCATCTGAGCCCTCCCTCCGAGTCCGGCTCCTCAGGCGGCGGCGGCGTCATCTCTCGCTCCCTCGCTTCCTCGTCTTCCCTCGCCGGCGGCGGCGGCGGCTCCGTCTTCAGCCACGTCTCTCGCGCTCCTGAAGATCCTATTCTCGGCGTAACAACCTCTCTCTCTCTCTGTCTCTGTGAATTTTTTTTTTTCGTTTCGTATGTCAGCGATTTCCGGTGGTATCGTTGTGATGATCTCCGATGATCGCCGCCGTGCGTAGAGCTTCGTGAGTCGGTGTGAGTTCAGCGACGTTCTAGGTTTTGCTTGGTGGAAAAGCGAAGGAAGATGGAGACGGAGAATTTTTTTTGATCCGTTTTGATTTCTCGCTCTTCTTCTTCTTCGTCTTCTTCTTCTTCTGCATCGGAGACGATGACGTAGCCAGGCTAGCTGAAGTAGCACGGATCCTTATGTGTTGTCCAGTTGTCGCACACGGCTTCGGGAACTTTGTCGTGGAACTGCTGTTCGTCGTGATCTAAGTTAAGGAATAATATTGGCCGAGTAGTGTTCCTGTGTGAACGCGTCTCTCACTCGCGCTCACACAGAGTATGGCCTTTGTCTCCACCGCTCTGTTGCTCATAGAAATAGGAAATGGCTTCTGCATTTTTGTTTGCGGTACTGATGAAAAAAAGCGAAGGTAACGTTGAAATTGGACTGGACGGTTAACCAAAAGTCTTTTGGATTTTGCTACTTGATGAAGAGAGCACATTATTTGTTGAAGGAGCTATGGTTGTCGCGTATTAGTATCTATCTATGTATCTCTAGTAGTCGTGCTGTATTGTGCCTGCACGCGATTGTGTGAATGTACACTGCCTCGATGTGCTTGTGATACCTAGAGATCAGAGGGAGATGAATTTGTCATGATACAATGTTGTTGCTGTTCTTGGAGTTGGATCCTTTTGCTTCTAAATGACCATCGCTTACGGTGATTCTCAATCGGTGGAGTTCCAGATTGGCCCTGTTTGGTAGTTGAGTTTTTGGAAAGGAGACAAATAGGATTATGCTTTTTATATTTGGCTGAAGGCTGTTTTATTGCGAAGATGAAATTCTCTATGTGGTGGTAGCTGAAAGAGCTTCAGATGTGATTTGTGGAGTGGGGGGGATTGAATTTCCTTTACAGTGGTTTCACTTCCCATGTATTTTCTTCTGAATTATGCTAATGTAAAACTTGTTTAGTCAGCTAATGCGTGTCATTGCAAATGCTGTTTAAAGGCTGTAATATATGTCCTCTGTCTGTGATAATTTTATTCTGTTGTATAATGAGCAGGTGACAGTTGCGTTCAACAAAGATCCAAGTCCTGTAAAGTTGAATTTGGGTGTTGGCGCTTATCGTACAGAGGTAACTTTTGAAAGAAACTTGATTTCGCTGTTTCAATCAATATTATACTGAACTTATACTGCTACTGTGAAGATATTTGTACATATTGCAATACATGCCTATAGAAGGCGAGTATCCTCTCATTCCTAGTGTTAGAGACAGATTCTTATGTCCTCACTGACTAGCATTTTCCTTTATGATTTTCATAGTGACAACACAGATAGTATCAATCCATTAATCCTTCTGGCCTGAAAAACCATTAATTTTTGGATCGTTTTCTCGTTTGGCTCTATATGCCTACAGGAAGGAAAACCTCTTGTTCTGAATGTTGTGAGACGGGCTGAGCAGCAGCTTATAAATGACAGGTTTGTTTGTGATGATATGATGGATATTAACATTAAATATGAAATTTATCGACTTATCTTGTCTGGTTTTCAGGGCACGTGTTAAGGAATATCTTCCAATTGTTGGATTGGCAGAATTTAACAAATTCAGTGCCAAGCTTATTTTGGGTGCTGACAGGTAGAAAATTAATGTAATAATTGATTGACAGTGAAATAATACCTGTGATTAATCTTCTTATATACAACATTTTATTGATGGCGTTTTGTATTTGACTTTTTCTTTCTTGATTTCCCTGGGAATAGCCCTGCTATTCTTGAGAACAGGGTCACAACGGTGCAATGCTTGTCAGGCACTGGCTCATTGAGAGTCGGGGGGGAATTTTTGGCAAGGCATTATCATCAGGTAAAGTGCATGTTTTACATTAGATGATTTCCTTGTCTTTGCAGGTCTAAGTGAGTGGTTTCAAGATAAAGCTTATAGCCAATTTTTCTACCATGTGGTGCAGCACACAATATATATACCCAAACCAACCTGGGGGAATCACCCAAAAGTTTTTACTTTGGCTGGGTTATCTGTGAAATACTATCGCTACTATGATCCTGCCACTCGTGGACTGGATTTCCAAGGTAAGGAGTAGTGACTCGTGATTTTCTATCTCAGCTTATATTTCTCAGATCTAAACGGTGCCAATGATCCATATTTAGTTGCACTCTTTCCCCCCTTTGCAAAGAATGATGCATGATTGTTGATGATGCAGTGCAAATTTGACAATCTAAACGAATGCAATAATGTTGTCTCTGAAACATAGGGCTGCTAGAAGACCTTGGTTCAGCCCCATTAGGAGCTGTTGTCCTTCTTCATGCATGTGCTCACAATCCAACTGGTGTTGATCCAACTCTTCAGCAGTGGGAGCAGATCAGGCAGTTGATACGATCGAGAAGACTGTTGCCTTTCTTTGATAGTGCTTATCAGGTATCTTCTTGCAGCATAGCAGATACACAGGAATTACATGGAAGCTCCATTTACTAGGATCTGATTTAGCTGCAGATGACTGATGAGTTATTCCTTGGTCGTACCCATTTTGTTTGACCCAGGGTTTTGCAAGTGGAAGTCTGGATGCAGATGCTCAGCCAATTCGTTCATTTGTGGCTGATGGTGGCGAATGCCTTGTAGCACAAAGTTATGCAAAGAATATGGGGCTCTATGGTGAGCGTGTTGGAGCCCTGAGCATTGTAAGACTCAATCCATGCTACTACTATTGATTACTGTCCGTTCCTCATCTTTTGATAGGGCCTGTCTCATGAGTCATGACTTTTGAATTCAAGGAATATCTTCATCTAAGCCGGTCGTGAATTTTTTTGGACTTTTCTAGAATATGAATGAATGTGAATTAGTGAAATTACAAAATGGAAAACTGTCATTTGTTTTTGGTCACTACTATGGCCCTGTTTGCCAACATTTTAAATAGTTGGTGGATCGGGTCTTCACATGATTTTTTTCTTTCTTTTGCAAGTATTATGTGCAAATATGATTGAAGAACTAGTCTCTGGCCTTTTACTGCATCACGCTTTGAGGAAAAACCGTTTTAAGATTGATCTGCAATTTCCTTTCTTGTAGTTTTATTTGTGACATTTGAATTACGCCAGGTCTGCAGGACGGCTGATGTGGCCAGTAGGGTAGAGAGTCAGCTGAAGCTCGTGATAAGGCCTATGTATTCAAACCCACCAATTCATGGAGCATCCATTGTGGCTGCCATCCTCAGAGACAGGTCAGATAAAAAAACTCTCGCAGCTTCTTGTCCCTTCTTCTTTTCTTTTTTTCCCTATATCCACAGCCTATGCCTATCGCTTGATGAATTCACGCTTAAGCTGCTATTTAAGCAATTTTTTAGGTTGATCTTCAATCCTTCTCCTGCAGGGAGATGTACAATGAATGGACTATAGAATTGAAAGCAATGGCTGATCGTATTATCAGTATGCGCCATCAGCTTTTTGATGCCTTGCGTGCGAGAGGTTAGAACCCTGATTTTTTAGGGTATTATCCATGCTCTGCATTTGTTTGTTTCTCATCTTTAGGCCAGCGGCTTGGGGACATTTTTCTTCGATTGCACAAATACACATGTCACAGCCTGCTGAGTGCAAGGCCAGCGGCTTGGGGACATTTTTCTTCGATTGCACAAATACACGTGTCACAGCCTGCTGAGTGCAAGGCCTACCCCAATTAATTACCACCGCCGCCCAGTTATTGCACTTAATCTACAATACGTGAAAAGCTTGCACCTCATGTATAGTTATTGGGTAGATAAATCTCTACGGTAGCAGCATCTTTGCCTTCATTCTGTTTGGTCATGCATGCATATTGCATATCGATTAGGTAGCTACTCATTTGACCTTTACCATGCTGTGTCGACTTATGCATGTTTCGGTCAGGCACACCTGGTGATTGGAGCCATATTATTAAGCAGATTGGAATGTTCACTTTCACGGGGTTGAACTCGCAGCAAGTTGCTTTCATGACGAAGGAGTACCACATCTATATGACTTCTGATGGGTAATAAATTCTTGTTCTTTTGTGCCATTATAATCATCTGGTTATTCGGGTCATTTTGACTTGATTTAATTTAACATTATCTCGGGAATCTCCCCTCTTCCTTCGAAGATCATTTCTTCTTTCATTTAGCGCATATTGTAGAATTGCCGGTGGAATAGAATGAATACTGGCGATTTTAGTTATCAATTCATACTGCAACAGATGAGAACTCTCACTTGTACTGAGCATACATAGCTTTAAGTCACCGCATCAGACACACCTCCTTCAAAAATTTGTCAAATGTTTGTCCTTTGTCCGCAACTTCATTTGCATATTTGATCGACTGTACAATTCCGATGCTTATGGCACGCCGCCGCTGCTTTTATGCAGGAGGATTAGCATGGCTGGACTGAGCTCTAGGACAGTCCCTCATCTTGCAGATGCTATTCATGCCGCCGTCACTCGTGTTGTTTAGAAAATGTTAGAGTCTTCCCTCCATTTCTCTGTCCGGTTTCGAGCATTTGGTTTCCGTCGGGTTATGTTATAATAATTATTGTCTCAATGTATTTAGGCCCTTTTAATTTTTTTATTAATTTTGGTAAAATAAACGGGGAGTCTGTCTTTTGCATATGGTTATGTATTAAGTGGGAAACATATATCGCTCTTTTGTCGTATGCCTGGACAAAGGCTTCAGACTGTTTGGCATTCCGAATCTTGCCACAGGTAAAGTGCAAAAAGTACAAATTGTCATTCGAACAGCCTTATCTGCCGTGGCCTGGCTGAACCTGCACAAAATACTAGGCCCAGACCAGTTTTGTGCGACGACAGCGAACTTCGTCGGATCTGTTCGGTTGGGTCTAGACTTAGTACCGAATTAGTGAGGCCTGGCCTTGCAATTTAAAAGGTTTTTTTTTCTGTCAAGCGTCTAAGGTGGGCCGTGGACCTCCCAGCCCAGGATCAGACATTAAGCTCGACTTAAGGCCCAAGAAACACAAAGGTTGAGCTTCCTGAAATTTCTACCCAAATAGTAGGCCAGGAAAGGCCCATGTGTTGGGCCTAGAAGGCGAAGATTAAGGTGCACTGGACTGAGAAAGCTGAAGTAATGGCCAATTAGAAGAATTGTTTTTCAGGCCCAATTGACCGAGAAAGCCCAAGAAGATGTGCCCCTACGAAAACCCAAAAGGCTGGGCCTCTAGGCCCAATGGGCATTGTAGGTCCAATGAATTGGACTTCTAGGCTCAAATTAAGGCCCAAGTTGAGGCTCAAAAAGTGGGTCCTCCGGCCCCAAGTTAAGGCATAAATTATGGGCGAGGCCCAAGGAGTTGGGCTACTGATTAGGCCCACATTTATGGGCCTGGACTGACCCAATATTGCTGATGTTAAGGCCCAAAATATTTGGGCCTGACCACCACCCAATGGGCTGACGAGGCCCGAGTGAAGGCTCAATCATTTGCGCCAGACCCTATTTAAGAGCCCAAGACTTGGGTTAGGCGGAGCCCAACTTGGGCTGGGCCAGGCCTGTTGTAAGGCCAACGATGGACCTTACTGATGATCCTCAGTCGTGTATAATTCAACAGGCCCATATTAAGGCGCAAAGAATTGGGCTTCCAGGCCCAATGGGCCATATCAGCCCAAGTTGAAGGCCCAAAGTTTGGGCCCAATGGGCCGCTTAGACCCAAATTAATGGGTTTGGAGGCCCAATTTAAGCTAAATTACTACTAGGCCGAAAAAGGCCAAAAGATTTGGGTTTTCAAACCCAAGTTAAGGCCCAAATAATGGTATGGGCCCAAGTTAATTCCGAATGGGCTCATGTTAAGTTTGTAGGCCCAATGTCGTATTATGAGCCTGGCCTTGGCCCAAGTTATTGGGGCTTTTTATGCCCATGTCGAGTCCTACGTTTTAGAGTAGACCAGGCTCAATTTAAGGCCCAATTTCCAAAGCGGCCCAATCTTAGTCAAGGGCCAGGCCCAAGTTAAGGCGAAAAAATTGGGCTGTCCAGGCCTAATGCGAGGCCCAAAGATTAAGGCCAGCCCGGGACCCCGTATAGTCTGCAGATGACCCCTTAATCGTTTACACGGCGAGTCATTTTCTGTGAAGACAAATCAACCTAGGTTTTACGAAAATTCTAAACCGACCTGAAAGTCTTTATAAACAAGGAGACACCATAAATATGAAGGAGCACGAGCACCTTTCTCCAATAATTTAATGTGAGTTCCAATCAACGCTCTATGACTGAGCAGTTTTGATGCTACATAAAATGACATGATACAAGACGGAAATGTCTATACATACTGTATGAACCTTTATGAATAGTCAACGCAGAGGTGGGCCAAACTTTCAGCACCTAGCATTCGCCCTATCTGCAACCTTTCAACAGATAGGAAGAGGGACTCGAGAAGGTCATGGTGACAGAGGATTTCCCACTCTCTTTCGGTTTTCCAGGGGTCCCGCATTCGCTGAAATCGAGCGTCCGGCGCTCCACCTGCGATGTTTCAAAACGAGTTATCAAAACTGGACTAGGTGGACATCAGACGAAAAACCTTGTGGAAGAAGTCTCGGAAGAAATCTAGAACTTCAATATTCATTCAATGGTTCACGATGATTTCGCTCATTCGATGGGATAAAAAAATAGCGTACCCTGATGTTATTTGCCTAATGTTTAAATTTCCTGATGTTATCGAGGTAGGCGTACCCTAAATAATGCCAGAAACCCCTTTCTTTTCCTCGATGAGTTAGTCCAATTAATCAGATAACCTAGCCGTGTGGATGACAGACTTCATGTAGAAAGCAGGTCACATGTCCAGGCACAAGAGAAGAATAAATATGGACGCGGAATTTCATAGTTCTGTTTAGTCTATGATATTGATTTTTTAATTATGACCGCTGGAGACTAGACACAGTCTTTCTTGAATAGATAAACAACGTAGGATCCAAGAATGAAGAGAATCTTACCGGCAGAGTTGAACCCATAGAAGAGCAATTCTCTGTCTGCTGATTCAATTTACAATTTTCTTGGTCGGGATTTTGGTGATTGAGGTTTTTCTTCTTGGATAATGTCTCCGGAGTGTCATTTCCGAGAACCTCCTGAGCTGTAGCATATGCAGCAGCACTCTGCTCGCTTAGATGTTTCATGAGCCCAAGAGCATCATAACTTCTGTCTCCGGGACTCATAAAATACCCTATATCCTGAAAACAAACCAAAAGAGGAAGCAGACATCGTGTTATTTCATTCTCTTATTGTGTGCCAAGGATGATATTATTAGCTGATGTAGACGACACAACAATACCTCAACCGTTATTTCAGTGTTAATCCTGGGCCCTGGAAGGAAAGAGTTTATAAACCAAGGCGACTTCCACGCTGAAGGAGATTCAATAATTCTTCTGAACGGAGTCCCTCCAAATCTGAAAAAGAATGTCATCAAGTCAAGAATCCCCTCATATCTAAGGAAAAGCAACTAAACAAAAAGAACCTAAGCAACGGACACTAATATAAATTTTGGAATCATAGTCAAACTCCACCACTGTTTCAGTTTATATATATGGAGATCATTTTAAGACACTTCCCTCCTAGGACCCCAAAGAATACCTCAAGCAACATAACAATCGGAAAGAACTGCATACAATTTTTCTAGGAGAACACAAATACCCATTTATAATATGTTAGCACAATCTTACATGCTTGAGTTCTCAAAGCTGGCATCATTCGAAGTGTTGTCGACACTGATCTCCAAGGGACCTGAAGGAAGCGACAATGAAGATTTAGCGGCCTTGTGGCTTCCACGTTTTGCTTCGCTACCAGGAGAGCTGAGAGGTTGCCATGAATTCCCAGACGAGGACTCTAAGGTAACTCCATGATTCAAAGAAGGTGCCACGACTTGAGACGACTGTTTTCTGGGAGTTCCATCTGTTGACCCAGTTGATTTATGAGCTTGGTTACCAGTTTGATCAGGAGAAAACAACAGGAGGTCATTTATGTCATGTTCAATAAGCACATCAGGAGGCTGTGGCACCTGAAAAGAAAAGAGCAGGCTGAGTGTCACTGAGGAAAAGAAAGAAAAAGGACGAATGAAATGGCCAAGTCACTTCCAGCAAAGAGAAGAATTCGCAATTTAATCTAAATGATCCACATGAAAAGAAAAGAGATTTCAAGTGCTGCTAAATCCATGGCATGAGACACTGCACGTAAAACTCTGACAAGAGAGTAACCAGCAAACTAATAGGAAGGATAAAAAATTGTGGACTATCCATTGCATGATGCACACAGACCACTAGTATGTTGATCACTCGATGGATCCATACTCTCACTTATTTTGGCCAGCATTCTCTTGCAGCAAAATCTTGTGCAGATGTATCGCCAATGAAATCGAGGAACAAAATGAAATTACAAACTCACCCTTTCGGTTGTGGCATCAGCTTCTGCACCAGTTTGAGCGTTAATATCATCATTAACAGGCTGTTGCCCTTCTTTCATATAATCGTCTCTACTGCAATCATCCTCTAAACTTTTATTGCCTGGAAATCCACTTCTGTCATTCTTTTCCTGTCTGCATTCTGAACCAATACATGAATTTTCTTTGTCTTCAGCTAGATTCCTCGAGTTTCTTCCCACGCTGATCGGAGGAGACAGCATATATGCCCTTTGATTGTCAGTCTCATCAAACATAACATCCAGACGAGAAAAGTCTCTCGTCAGGTCAGATGTTATATCTTTCTCCAGCTTTTTGTCAATTCTTCTATCTGACAAAGGGGACAACAAGTCACGACATCTTTTCTTTAAGATAGAAGGGGTACTCGTGAAAGTTTTGGCGGCACTTTTCAGTACAGCATCAGGACTTTTGTCACGTGAAGGAGAATCCCATAACCTAAATGGGGATATGCAGTTGATAGAAGACATCATCAGCTGTCGGATACCAAGGGGACTATATTCTTGCTGCATGTCGTTACTTGGTTGTATCAGATCACAGCTGAAAAAGGGAATATCCAAGCTAGGAAAACGAGGGGGCTCATAACACAGTGACCCTGGCTCTGGCTTTACTACTCCAATGTCCGGCCCAGCTTTCAAAGGAGTAGTTAGCATGACATCTGATCCTGAACAGAAAGCATTTACAGGTACTAATTTCGATTGATCAGGTGGCAATTCTAATTGCTCTAGCATACTGGAGCTCATGCCATTATCACCAGGAGAATTGGTTGAATCATCTGCAATAACAAAACGACTATGCACACCAGTTTCAAAGTCTTCTTGAGTTTCAAAAGAGGGATACTGGCTGTTTTTGCTACCAGATACTGGTGCGTCGCCATCACTCGAGAACAATAAAGGAGCAGAATTAGAAGGCTGGGCACATGAAGTACCCACAGCAACAGCTCCTGAAGGATTATACAGCTGAGGAGATTCGGATGTTTGAAAATTTGATGATTGGCTTATTAGTGCATCTATACATCCGCCAACATCAGTTCTGATTGGTTCTTTTGCAATATTTTCAGAGGATAAACATTCATCAGCCATAGCATCTGAGAATAAAAACCTGCAACATTCATCATCGGAAATCAAAATCTGATGCAACTGATCGGCTCCTATGCCCAAACTGCTAACAGAAGGAACCATCAGTGCCAGAGAAGCTTGAAAGGGAACATTAAGCCCCCCATGGCTCTCACTGGCACCTATGGACTCTGTTTTCACTCCTGATGATTCTGGTCCAAAATCCAAGAAGGAACTATTTGGTAGGTCATGTCCACTGAACTTGTAATCCTCAAAAGAAGTTTCATTGCCACATGAAAAATCATGATGCGCCAAATTAGAAGAACCACATATTTCAGGATGTACATCTGGAATAGTGAGATTGACCTCATCCATAGACGGATAATACTGCTCTGAACAGGAAACTGGACTGGAGTTGTGATCTCTTCCCAAAGCAGAATCTTCGCTCTTAGGTATGGCTATAGCCATGTCATTAGTAGACTGAGAGCAACCTACAGTCGAACCTTGACTGCATTCTGAATTTTCCTCTAGCTCTACCCCACCTTTAGGACCAGTGTCAACTCCACTGGTCTGCAACCTTGAGGAAGATGAAGCAACGAGCTGATTCTGGAATCCAACATGAGGCAAAGCTGGAAACTGTGCAAGTAAACCTGATGCCAAGTAAGTGTCCAGTTTCTTCTTTACAGAACTGTTCCAGTGGTTTTTTATAGCATTGTCGGTCCTGTTCATGCAACAACATAATTATAATTTATCCACAGTACGAGCAACATTTACGTTGCACTTTAAGCTGCAACAAACAACACGAAGAAACACCAAGGACACAAACCTGCCAGGCAAGAACTTGGTCAGCTCTGCCCATCTGTTTCCATATATCTGGTGAGCCCGAATTAAGGCCAGCTCCTCTTCTTGAGTCCATGCCTCTTTATTTATAGCAGGATTAAGATGATTATGCCACCTGACATTATATATACACGAACACGATTTCAGATATAGCAATTTCAAATTGGATTCTCATCTACTTCAGCATGGCTAACCCAAACTCCAAACTAATGTGAGAATTAGCTTGAGAGCAGAGACACTTCAGGTACAGGACATTAGGGTGAACAATCAAAGTATGAAACCAAAAAGAAGAGAAAAGAACAATCAAAAGTATCTGGATTGTGGTAAGCAGTGTGCAATTAGCAACAAGAGGAAGCTTGCAACACAGAAGAATTCCAACTTCATCGAAAGAGTAGAAGAAACAGAGACTGCCTGAAGCAGACTTTGAATGGTATTAGAATATCCACTACAGCTGTTGTTCAAGTTCAACTTTTCACTCAACTTTGTCCTAGTGACTTCCCCTCTACTCAGTTTCAAATTCAAGCCCCAAAATCAGCTTCAGTTCACTGGCAGCAATCACGTTCATTTGGCACATCCTTCCAGATTTCTTAGCTGTTTAACAACACATGAAAGCTGTAGTCTCGGAGGCTTTGCTTGAGTGGCCATTTCATACTTGTGGATTGTTACAGAAACAGTTCACAAGCGTGGCATTTTGGTTTTGGCAGTTAGTATCACCTTGACCAAACAATTTACAAATCAGCATCTGAAATGAGCAGAGGTGGAAAAAACGTCTCGGAACAATTAAAATATAGTAGGAAAATAAGTAAAAATTCGGTATTGATTGGTTTCAGATTGAGACTTTTGCTACATTTGAGGTGGGTCCTTCATTATAGAAAATGCAATACATTTTTTTCTATCAAAGGGAGAAGGATGTCTTAACATAATTCAGTATAATGGCATCATGTGTAATGATGGCTAGACATTCTCATCAGAAGGCAACAAAGTATCCAAAAAGAAAATCATGAAACTTTTGGTCACACCTTTCTCGACATTGCTTTCCAATTCGCCCAGGTAGATGTTGTGCAATCGTGGACCATTTTTTTGGACCATATTTGTTGACCAACTCAACGATGATTTCATCCTCCTATATCACATGAGCAAGTAATCATGTCATGTTATAGACACGCCGGGTGAATTTACAGGGTAAAAATGATAATTATAAAAAAAAAAGTTCGACGGGGAAAAGGATAAAAAGGAAAATTAATTATTACCTCTTTAGACCAAGGACCTTTCACAAGTTCAGGATTCAAGACCTTTTGCCACCTATGCAGACATTGTACATCAGTCCGATCTTTGAAACACTCGGCTACAAAACCAGTATTTTTCATCAAAGCCAAGCAACTGTTGTACAAATACCAGAAAACTACAGTTGATGGATTATTGAAAAGACAATTAGTTAAAAACAAATCAAATGTGGCCAGCACAAACAGAATTTACGCTCGAGAATATCGTTACAACATAATAATCCTAATTTTACAGAAGAAGACAGCAAATATATTTGCACCCAAACAATTCACAAGCGACAAGCAAATGTTCATCAAAGATTCTGCATTTGTCTGGCTCATGTTCATACAACTTCAACTTTCATGATTGATAGTAAAAACTTCACTTTTCTTTGAAGAAAAGCTATATACGATAATACAACAACCAGCAACTTCGGGACAAGGAAAACAATACTAAATTGCACCATCAATAGACATACCTATCTTTTTCCAATTCTTTCCTTTGAAACGCTCGACCGCCTTGCGCAAAATCTCATCCTGACAGCAATGTAACCTCAAGTTATTATAGCATTATCTAATGCTCAGCCAATTGTTCCACTTTCAAGTGGATAAGCATCAGACAATAAACCAAACTTAAGATGAAAAAAGGTTATCCAGGATATAACCATGAATAACCCAGAAGGAAGGGAAAAAAAATCAGTCAGTAGAATATCAAGAAAGTCACACTGAGAATTCACTTTTATGAAAAGAAACCCTGTACTGTCTAATCTATCATTTTGCATGAGTGCAGCTAAAATAGTTGGACATCCTAGGAAGTATTGAAGCGGAATTACTCGACAGAGAAAGAAAGTTTTGACAGTAGAATAAAGTACAAGCCTTTACCTCTTCAGCTGTCCATTGTCCCTTTGTTGAACGTCTAGTTGGCCCACTAGTCCTCCTACAAAACAAAAGCACCATATAATGCAATCTGTGGAAGGTGAGCACCAAATATAAATAATCATGACCTGGTTGGATCCAAACTAAGAAACACTGACAAAGAACTGAGCACTTGAGCACACTAATAGCCATAAGAAACTGCAACAAGGATCTTGCACAAAAGGACAACCAATTTAAGAAATTGATAGCCTTTGCCTGATTTCACACTCAGCAGAACTGCAGCAGGGAGCAATGAGAAAAAAAAAATTGGGCTTCTTTTGCAAGGAAAAAATGCACCACATCATATCTCAGAGATGCCATTAAGTGAACTCTCATCCATCCAAACCACGTCTCTACTTCTAAGTAGCAGCCTAGTCACCAAGCATATTGATTGAAGCCAATTTGCATAACATGTATGTACTAAGGTTTCGAATGCAGTACCCATGCAATGGCCGCGCTCTTGGTACACCATCTCTGCTCCCGTCCGACGGAGCCGATGCTGTCCTTTCACTTTCCATAGTTCCTGGATAAACATGAAATGCTACATATGCCGATGCCCACTCTGTGACCGTCTCCAATAAGTAATCTCCAAATCATCATAAACCACCCGCTGAAATGTTTAGGCCTACGTCTTCGAACCACAAATGCAACAAGTAAACAGCAAAAATAAGCACTGTCATACCGAAACATTCCAAAGCCAGCGAGCACCAATAACGAAACGCTACTTATACAGCTCGCAAACACGAGGCGCTCGAAATTGAAAGCGAAATGAATAAGCGGACGATCTTCTCGCGATTTACTCACACAATCCGAACCCTAGAATTAAAAATAAAAATAAAAAAAAAACTCGCCAAATCACTCAATTGAGTAGAAGATTGAGCGTCGAACAGCACCGAGAAACAAATCTCCAACTCTAGCTAAACTCGTCAAGATCGAACGAGTTCCGAACTCTTCCAAACCGAGCGCTTTAAACAGCTCATCGTAGTAGAATCGGTTCGAACCTAATCGAAACCTGCTCGAGGAGTCACTCAATTAAGCAGCAGATTGAGCGTGGAACAGCACCGAGAAACAAATCTCCAACTCTAGCCAAACTCGTCGAGATCGAACGAGTTCCCAACTCTTCCAAACCGAGCGCTTCAAACGCCCCACCGTAGTAGAATCAAGTTCGGACCTAATCGGAAAACCCGCTCGAGGAGCGCTCAAAATTCCGGCGAATCCGAATCGAATCGAATCGACTCTTAACCTAAGAACCGATCACCACAAAAAAGGAAGAAGAAAAAAAAAGAAGAAAAGAAAAAACGCACCGACGGAGACGAGATCGAGACTCACCAAGCTGAACCCCGACGAGCGGGACGGACCGCGTCGAGCGGCGAGGGGCGGAGGGGGACGTCGGCGGAGGCGGCGCCTCGCGCATCTGCGGATCCGGAGAGAAGCTCCGCCGCCGGGAGAGACCGAGCGCGGCGCGGAGGGGCGGCGGAGGAGCGAATCTGGCGAACGCCGCCGCCGCTGCTGCTGCTGCTGCTCTGCGCGACGGAGCGAGAGAGAAGAGAGAGAGAGAGAGAGGGAGAGGGAGAGGGAGAGGGAGAGGAATTTGAAAGTGAGTTTGTTGTTTTTGTTTTTTTTAAGTGAAACGGTCCTGAGGACTGAAGAGGGGGAGGAGGGACTTGGTATTCAAACGCGAAGGGGCGGACCTACGATGATTTCAAACCCCTCGTGGCTTAAAGGTCGAACACGTTCGGTGCTGCTGATGATGAGATCTCGGCGGATCTGGGCCGTCCGTCCGCGACTGGGTTCTCCCTGGTCCTTTTGCTTTCGGTACTCCCTACTCTACTCCGGGGGAGTTTTTTTTATTTTTTTATTTTATTTTTGGTCTTTTCTTAAGTCCAACGGCACCCAAACGTCTTCTTTCTCCTTTCTTCTCTCTTTTTTTTTTTTTTCTGTTTGAAATAATTTAAATATGGAAGTTTCAATTCCGATAGATATCGATAATTAAATATGTGATAGCCCGTTCTACGTCATATCCGGCATGTCTGATGGAGAGATATTTCCCTTTTTTTTCCTCTTCACGCGTACAAATACAAGATGGCAAATGAAGAATCGATAAAATTACGGCTTCTAATAAGGTGTGCACCGGTAAAAGTAGGGGAAAAGTTATAGGACTTGGTATTTTTTCTACCGAGGCTTTCTTGTTTTTACGGTCTCGTTTTGGGTTTTCGAAACGTGAAATTAGCGACCTCAGAATTTCAAATTTTTCCATTAACGGGCGGAACTATCTAAGAATTGATGGATTCTTACCAAATCTACATAAAAATAGCTCAAAAAAGAAAAAGAAAAGGGAATTCGAATGCGAAAGATAGCTTTAGGACTTTGGGTTGGAAAAAAAAGTTGGACGAGTTGACTTTTCAAGGGATCTCCAAAATTTGAATATGGTCGTCTGATTGGGCGTAGACATACTCTTAAAAGACTTGAATATTTAATGGGTTGAGCATTAAGAGAAGAATATCAAATCCAATATTAATTAGGGCATTTATTTCTCGAGATTTTAAGTCGTGCTTATCGTCACCAAGCGAGAGATAAGTTAACCCAGTTTTCTTTTTTCTTTTTTTAATTTACAATGTATCGACTCTCATTTTTATAAGAAATCACAACGATCCTCCCAATTCGAGAATCATACCAATTTCATCCTACGGAACTCACACTAATTTATTCTCTCTTTTCGTGTCATTTGTCAATCCATATTTTTGGCTCCTATAAAGGACCAAATCATGATCCGCATTCGCTGACAGTGATAGATAAGCAGGCATTCCACTGTCCCGAACGATGTGAGCCAATTCACACGGGCTCAGTTCACGTGAACCGCGAAATGCTCATCTCTTCCAGGAAAAATGTTTACGACTCTAAGATGAACGGCCAGATTGGTAGTGAGGTTTGTGGGGGCTGGGTACTATGGCCAGCCAAATCATGTGACTGTGACCCAAGGCTCATCTAATCTGAAAGTTGGAGTATCATTTGAGAAAATTTTTACGGTGCGCATATTACCATTATGGAGTTTTTTTTTCTTTTTTATAAAGTACAGTTTATGTAGATTGGTCAAGGAGTACGTGAAAAGCTGCCCAGTAGTTAGATCCGTCGAATGGGTAGATCGAGTCGACAAATGATCCAATTCAAATTGACCTATTTATCCCGTTTTGACACATTTTCCGTACAATGCAAATTTAGTGACCTATACCCAATCCGACCCATATTGTTAAAACACTTCTATATATAATCTAATCTAGAAAAACTCGTATCCAAACTGAAGTGAGAGTACGTAGTGAGCGAATGTGACATCAAGCAAGGGCGAGAATAAAAAAGGTGGGTTAGATGTAAAAAGTTACGAATCCATTTAACACCTAGATTATTTTGAATTTTATCATTCTAAACTCATTTATGACTTACTTACTAAACATTAACTCATGTAACAATTCAATTCACCAAATATGGATTAAAAAATCAACTTATGATCTATTTTGACAAGTTTACTGGTAGGATGAGAAAAATTATTATTATTATTTTTTAATTGAACATAGAGCTAGGCAAATTCTATCTATGTACACCCAAGATAAAGTAGCGCATTGACCAGTCAATTGTGTTGCAATTATTCACTCTAGACCAGGTCGATAATGTCCTTAGAACAGGGCAAATCATGCATTGACGCCTGTACTTTCAAAAGCTTTTCAGTAAGTTTGCAAGTCTAAAATCACATAGACAAATCTGTTTCAAGTAAAATTCAAAAGTCTTTCCACATTGCAGGATTCAAACACGAGTCTGATTATCTATCACCAGTTGATCCTGTCCGAAGGAGACTGCAAACTACAGCGCCTATTAGTAAGCATCATTGACCGAGAACTCTTGAGACGATGAAAAGGAGAGAAAAAAATTGAAGAAAAAGCAAAATTGTCTTAGAAGAGAAGAAACAGAAGACAAAATTTTTCAGTTGGTTGAGAGCAGTTTCATACATTACATACAACAACAAAGAGAAACGGATGAACACGACGTCATCCGTCGTACTTGCAAAGGTTCTCGAATCCCATATACTCGTGGCGCGCTATCTTTCCTATCATGTTCGATATGCCAACTCCACCTATTAAGCAGAAGCCAAGAGACACTCCTTAAAACTTTTGAATACCTCAATAAGTTAGTCAGCCCAAATCGAAAAGCCACACCTACTGGGTTTTTGAACAAGCTGTAAAGAAGTTGCATAAAATCTGCTAAAGGGAAAGGAAACCCGAGAAAAACAAAAATTCTCACCTAGCGAGATTGCGCTAACAAATATTGTGAAGGCTAGAATGAAGATGATGAGCGATGCCCTTCCAAACACAATGATCAGCTTCCTGACAATGTGTTGCCCGACAAGAGCCGCCACCGTAGCCACGATAACAAAGTACAGTGCTGCAGAACATATTTGACAACGTGTGAGAATTTCGAAACTTTTTTTACTTCGTTCTTCACTGAGGTGAAAAAGATAATGCATCAGTTCAGCATCGTAATGCCTATGGTTTTACGCATCCATGACAAAGTCACCATCTATCAACTTACCATAAGGAACGGGAAAGCGATTGAGAAGATAATACTCTACAACAGACATGGATGAGGAAAAGGTCATTGCAAATGTAGCTGTGGCACTTGAGACCTGCAAGTACCAAAAGGTTGACGACAAAGATTCAGCATTGGCTTATGTCTCGAGCGACATCAACAAACATCTCGAATTAATATAGCGACATAAACATGGTAGTTTTTCATGATGAAGCAAATTTAAGAGAAGAAAAGTTGCACTAAAATGATGTTGATGGGCACCGATCTTTTGACTACCATTGCTTCCTTTGCCGTAACTCGAAGAGAAACATGGACTCACCTGTGGAGGGACACCCAGCTCCAAAAACAGCGGACCCATGATGAATCCTCCACCTAATCCAAGAAGCCCTCCGACAATTCCAGCCAGCACTCCACAGGCACAATAAAACATGAGCTGATGCACTTGAAAAGTAGTTTCTTGATTTCCCTTAGACGAAATTACTCTCCTTCCCTTATACAAGCTAATTGCCTCATAAAGAGACACCGACAATGAAATCGGGACCTGCAAATGATCACAAAAAATATGGAAACACTGACTAAGAGGAACTGGAAGAACTTGCATTTTTGGGATCAATTTGGCCTCTTGTGCCAGCTCCTAAAGTCTAAAAGCCTCGATATCCGAAGAGACATGCAGACATTCAAATATTTACATATACAGGGAAAAGTACCTGCAATAAGTTTAATACCCAATAGCCAACTGAACAGGTAGCTGTATGATTCTGTCAGCAACAGCAGAAAATACCAAAGTAAATACATATACATCAGGAAAGAGGAAAGTGACACAGAGTGATCTATTGCATTTCGAGAGTTGTTAGAAAGCTAAAGGGGAGAGACACCTTGGCAATTTGAATTCCAAGAAAAGCAACCCAAACAAGAACGAGGAGTCCAAGTTCCATCCAGTAAACATTTTCGAGAATGGTCACCTGCAATGAAATGCTAAAAGAAATTAGGCATTCATCGGCGTCTCATGCAAACTATCAGGCAATACTAACCTCCGGTTCCCTGCTGTTCCTTTCAGGGACATTCCCTGGGCCACTAGGAAGAGGCTTGTATTCCAGTTCCGGGTTTTCAGTGCCTAAGCAAAAGCCAGGAAGTGACAATCAGAGAGCAAGAGAGAGAGAGAGCGCAAAGCAGAGCAGAGACTGAAATTCAGTATGATGAAAGAAATAACATCATGACTCACCATCAGACTCCAGGCGCTTGGCAGCCTCCTGAAAACAAAAGCATGTGAAAATCAGATGGTGACATTACAAAGGTGATGCTCACTCACGAAGAAAGTAAAAAGAAAACCAAGCAATCAAACTCAAAGCAAATATAAACAAGCCTATCAATCACAGTTTGAAGGAATATTCATTTTACTAAGCAAACTAAATGCTTCTACCTACGGCAGTTATAACAGTTCAAGAGGCATTTGCTCCCAAGTAAAGTGGGGTTTAAAACCTGTAAAACGTACATTTTCAGACCAATAGAGAAGTGCACATCCCACTTCATCAAAGATTCAACTATGGTTGCTTAGTTTCTACATAGATGAATGGAATCAAAGTATCATTTTTAACACGACATACAAGTAATGTCAATGCAACAAAAGGGGGATGGCAAACTGAGGCAATAGATATTCGATAGTTCTCATTCCAGAAGAAGTAAATATTGTGGAAGTAAGATAATCTGTTTTATTAATTAGTCAAAGTGATAAAATAGTCCTCATGCATAGAGATTAGAGGACATTCATATTAATAAAGACTAATTATTGGCAAGAATTTTCAGTAAATTCCTGACAATGAATTCCATACTGCTATCTTTTTCAAAGGATGTTACCAAGTTTCAACAAAATGCTTTTGCCTCACACACCTCCTAGTCAACCTTTTTAAGTGTTGTACAGTCATGATTTCTTCCGAGAATTAGCAGGTGAAACGTTACTTATGCAAGACACAACCCCAATAATTTAATTTACACTTGATTACAAGCATAACAGACCTACCTTCTTCAATATGGTTTCTTTGTTCCATGTTTCGAGCCCCTTAAAGAATGCCTTAGTCGATGTGCCTGCATGTGTAAAATCAGGTATGCTCTGTAGCAACCCAGTGCTTTAACTGACAAAAATTGCAACAAACATTACCTAGGAAGAGAATAATCAGCAAAACCGTGACCATCCAGTCAGCAAATATCACATTAAACGCAACACCGATGCTTATGCCAAGCATGAGCATTGGTTGGATAAGCAGTGCCAAGTCATAGTCTATGATGGGCATATTCAGTGTGGGATGCCTACGCTTAAGATTATAGTAGACGGTCGACCCCGCAGCACCCATGATCATACCTGAAAAACAAACATGCTCAGAACTTCCTAAATATTAGTTCCAGAGTATGTGAACGAACGACTGCCTTTATGTTAAGTAATTCAGTCAAAAGAAAAATTACATCAGTTTCCCTTCCTTCTTTTATAATTCCAATCCCGTCTTTCGACTTCATTGATTTAAAACATTTGGTAAAAGGCTTGTGAATTAACTAGTGTCGACCGAACCGGAGAAATTACTCGATTTACTTTGTATATTGGAAATTAAAACTGTACCATGTAAAAGTTTAACTTGTGCATACATTTTGAAATAGCTGTTGCTGACTTGGGATCAAACCCAATGATTAGGCTAAGCATGGGAACAAAAATCCCACCACCACCAACACCACCCACGCTCCCGAATGCTGCCCCTAAGAACCCGATTACGGTGCCGACAACAATTTGCCAGCCAAATTTCATTTCCTGTGGATGAAGAATTAACACAACCAACATTCAGATTTACATTAAAAAAAAAAATCGTTCATTTTTACTTCATTCGGTAAAGAAAACAAAGGGACACGTTCAGGGGAACAAAGCCCATTGTTTAAAACAGTTTCAGCTATACCTACTGGGGGGTGAGAAGATTAAAGAAGGTCTGGATCCCACGCAACTAATGCGAATGTGATCAAACTATAAATGCGCAAAACAAATTCAGAACCCGAAACCCGTCAAAGCACGAGAAGTCATCAAGCAATAATTGACATGAAATAGACAAACCCACTTCAACTTCAACTTCAACCAACCCATTTTATTTAAGCCAGACATAATCAAGTGGAAATACTAAATCACGCCTAACATAAGTATGACCGAGCCAAAAACAGATGCTTTTACCGGCCAAACATGTTGATAACCGGTCTGGTCAGATTGCCACAGGAAATTCACAGTTCTTGAAAGGAAATTGGAGAGGGGTTCCTGCTCCGGTCGATCGAACGTCGGGACTTCATGCTTGAAGCTCCTTTGAGCTGAAGCAAAGAAGAACGCGAGCAAGACATGGAACAAAACCCCAAACAATCTGCATGTAATCCATTTGGCTCGAAACGGAGCCATCTCAACCAAGAACTCTCGCAAAGATGCTCAAACGGCGCGTTCTGGGGGTGTCAAAAAATCGCAAACTTGATCGTCGCGAGCACTACGCAGACGCGGAAACAAGGACGGGCATGTCTTCCTCCGTTTTCCCCCGGCAGGATGGAAAGGAAAGAAAGCAGAGAAAAGGGCGGGACAACGGAAAAGGGAAAAGAGGGAGGAGGAGGAAGAAGAAGAAGAAACGCGGGAGCTTTACGGGCGTGATCCGCTCGAGCGGATATACAGGATCTCCTCGAAAAGCAAACGATCGAGAGAAAAGCTGGGGTCGGGAGGGAGGGAGCGCACGCAGCGAGTGAGAACAAGAATCCCAAAAGCGAGAGAAGATGGGGGGATGGAAAGCGAAAGAAACGAGTGAGGGTAGTAGGAAAGGCCTGTGATGCGCGTGCGTGAATTTGAGCAGAGGATAAAGATGGAAAAAATTGACACAAATAGCCTCTGAACTTTGATTCAACGTGTAATTTGATCCCTAAATTTTTAATTTATTTAATATAGTTCTTGAACTTTAGGCCATTATTTAATGTGGTCCCTGAACTCTTAATTTGTTTAATATCATATATGAACTTTTGATACATGTTCATTTGAACATTTTTATATAGTTCAGGAACTGAATTGAACATGTACCAAAATTTTAGGGATGACATTGAACAAATTAAAAGTTCAGGGATCATATTGCATATTGGGTTAAAATTTAGGGATTACATTGAACAAATTAAAAGTTTAGATATCAAATTATATATTGGCTCAAAGTTTAAAGACTGCTTGTGTCATTTTTCGATAAAGAAAAAAGGGAAAGGTTCTTGAAAAAAGCTGATAAATGGTAGGAACAAACAAGCAGAGCCAAAGCGCTCTCTCTCTCTCTCTACTCGCATGTTTTGTCTTTAGAATCTTGAACCTGAAAAGATGGGAGTGCTGTGTCGGGTCGTGCGATGATGACGACGGGACACGACGGGACACGATGCATTTCGCGAGTTAGTTTCTGTTAAGGAGACACGAAGCTGACACGGGGATGGGTTCGGAAACGATTGTGATTGTGTCTTTTCTTGATCGCAAGCCTCCGAGAGAGACGAGTGAATCTGTTCTTGGCTCATTTCGCTCGTGGATGAGCCGTGTGGATCGTCGAGGTCCGCGACCAGGACGAGGCTGTTGGACAATGGTACGAGTGAAATCATCAGCAATGCACCACCTCCTCTTCCTTCTTCTTCTTTTAATGGATTTATAGAAGTAGATAGGAGCGTATCGCCGGGATAAGGGATGAGCTAATCGGTACACACCGCGAGGTGAATCGGTCAACCCAACCCAAGCTCGTGTTAGCCCTCAAGCCAGTGAGGAAGAACTTCTTGACGGTGGCGCCAACGAACTCGGTGATGAGGAGGTAGGAACTATCATTAGCCACAGTGACGCCGCCGAGACCCAAAAGCAGCATTAATAACAAAATGCATAGGTTCAATATTGTTATAGGGAAATGACCGGGGTCAATCACCTTTATAAATCTCTCTCGTCAAATGTGAGAAATCCAATTTTTTGAAATCGCCCCTCAGACTGAAGAGCCGCTCGATCTGAGCCATGGACTCTCTCTTGGCGGTCTCTACAAAGAGATCAAGGAAAGCCCTAACCCGAACCCGTTTTATCTCGTGCTGTCCCTTCACAACTAGTGACACGCATGAATGGGGTTAGTATGAATAGATGAGATATGTCGCGACGCTCGTAAAAATATTTTACGAAAACAAATCGAAAAAGTTGGCGATTTCATTGTCGGTGAACACATGAATAAGGTGAATATGAATAGATGGGACATGTTGAGACCCCATTAAATTATTCTAAGAAGCAAATCACAAGAATATGTAACTTCATTAAAAACGAGATGCACCCTATTTGCACCTCTCGAATAGTTTTAGATACACCCTAAAATTTAAATAGATCCACCCTCATTGGGACCTCATTAATAGTAAGGTTGACGAAAGAGAAGAGTGTATCTTTTATCTTTAATGTAGATGAATCAGTCTAATGATTGTTATCAACCTTTCCTAAATAGTTATCTCTTCTTCTTTTGTGTTCAAATCGAAAAGTTTACATGTTTGTCGCTTTTTTACAATAATCATCTAAGATTCGAGTATTTTAACAGATTTAATGATCACCAATTCAAAAGAATATTAGTAAAGTACATTTTATTTACAATGTCTCTCTAAAATTCAATCTCTAATAATTCTCTGTGATATACAATTCTCCCGTTCAAGCTCTTTTAGGGCAATTCTTCGGTAAAAGTTGTGGACTCTTTATGATTATAATTTATATTTGGGAAAATTTCATTTTGGTACCCTCAGTGGGGCCTTTTTCTCAATTTGGTACCCAAAGTGGACATAGTCCCAAATTGGTACCCAAAGTGCCCATTCAGTCTCAATTTGGTCACAAGTGCTTCATTCGTCTCAATTTGGTCCCAAAGTGGACATAGTCCCAAATTGGTACAAAGTGCCCATTTAGTCTCAATTTGGTACCCAAAGTTCCCATTCGAGTCTCAATTTGGTACTGAGGTTGGCCGTAGGTCAAATGCTCGGCCGTAAGAAATTCTTGTTCACATCTGAACAAGTATTTTTTACTTTTTTATTTTTTTTTCCCTTTTCTCGATTTTTCTTTTCCTTTTCCTTTTCTTTTTTTTCCTTCTTCCCTCCGCCGGCCACAGCCATGGCCGTGGCGGAGGTCGCCGGCGTCGGGCAAGGGCGGCCCTCGCCTGGGCTGGCGAGGGTCGCCCTCGCCTGCGTCGGGCGAGGGCCGACCCGCGAGGGTGGCCCTCGCCGCACGCAGCGAGGGCGACCTCGCCGCCCGGACGAGGGGCCGCCTCGCTCGACGCCGGCGAGGGTGACCTCGCGCATCCGGCGAGGACAACCTCGCCCTCGCCGGATCCGGGTAGGGTCGGCCTCGCCCACCCAGCGAGGGTGGCCTCGCCCTCGCCGGACCGGCGAGGGTTGCCTCGCCGACGCGGCGAGGGCCGACCCAAGCGAGGGTCGCCCACGCCCGACGCCGGCGAGGGCGACCCTCGCCGGCCCGGGCGAGGGCGCCCAGCGAGGGCCGCCTCGCCCGACGCCGGTGAGGGCCGACGCCGGCGACCTCCGCCGGCCATGGCTGTGGCTAGCGGAGGGAAGAAGGAAAAAAAGAAGAAAAGGAAAATAAAAAAAACAGAAAAAGGGAAAAAAAATAAAAAAGTAAAAAAATACTATTCCTAGAGTCGAACAAGAATTTCTTGCCTACGTGGTGAGCATTTGACCTACGGCGAACTCGTGTACCAAATTGGGATCGAATGGGCACTTTGGGTACCAAATTGAGACTAAATGGGCACTTTGGGTATCAATTTGGGACTATGTCCACTTTGGGTACCAAATTGAGACTGAATGGGCACTTTGGGTACCAAATTGAGACTGGATGGACACTTTGGGTACCAAATTGAGAAAAAGGCCCCACTTTGGGTACCAAAATGAAATTTTCCCTTTATATTTTAGATATGTAATTTAACAGAGATTACCAATAAGATTCAAACTCATTAGAAAAAAAAAATCTTTTATAGAAATAAGCTAGAGAACATTAGTAAGTAGAAGAGAGGTAATGAAACTTCTACACAAATAGACAGAAAAAAATTAGCTAGTTTTCTTGTATTTTCATGATAATGTGTGGTTCTTGCGTTTTCAATATATATCAACTTTCACCGTTTCCATTAGCGATTCCAAATAATTAGTTCTTTTGGGGTTATTTCGTCAATTGATAAGTTAGGGAGTGTTATAGCCATTTAGAGGGTGGAAATAGTGTGAGCCTAAAAGTGGACATAATATTAGAAAAGTTGGTAATTTGAAATCGAATAAATAAACATTAGTAAGTAGCTTCGAATTAAAAGCTGGTAAAATAAAACTAATTGGAAATTCCGTTAGAAAAAAATGCTTATGAATTACTCAAATAAAGTTATAATACAATATAAGAGACGATAATTTCAATAAAAATCAATAAGTTATTAGAAAAGTAGTCAGAACGAATCAAATAAAAATAAACGTTTATAAACGGTTTGAAGAGCTCGTGACTAATTGACAATCTTATAGAAGAACAAAAAAAAAAATCACCCAAATTAAGGTTGATAATTTCGTGTAAGAGTTGATAAATAACAATCAAATAGACGTAGCTAATTTAACACAAGAGTCGGTAATTTACTGAAAAAAATCTATCTAACAATCAAATTATTGGTCACTTCTGCTTACCAATGGCATCTGAAACCTACCATCCATCCTAGAAATTTTGTCAACGCCCTCCATTTCTTCCCAAACAACTTATAGAACCGCCCCCCCAATTCTAATGAATGAGTCAATTCTCATAGGGAAAAGCAACAAATGATAATTGGAGGGCTTCAATATAATATGCAGCATATATATGTGTCTTGAACAATGACTTGTCTTGTTGAGCCATGTTGATTAGTGGATATAATTAAATGTTTATTTTCATTAAAGTACAAGTGGTCCTTAGTCATTTGACTCACATCATCTTCCTTTATATTTATGCAAATCTTCTTCATCATCTTAATTGTTTATTTATTTATTTACTAACTAAAAAAATTGTGGTGCACCCTTGGCCTTGTTCTCTAGTTAGTCAAGTACTGTATCTCTATGGCATGGTGGGGGCGAGGCTTACAAAAAATGGGCAGGCAAGAAAATTGACGATGAGAGGAAAAAAAAGGCAAAATTTTGCCCAAAAAATTCGGTAATTCTTGATAATTGATATGGTCAAATAGGAATATGTGTTGGATGAGAAATAGAATTTTCAAGAAGGGTCTAAAGAATCAACCGATCGTCAGCATCAAATTAGATGAAAATTTGAAATATGGATAGAGCAAAGTGTGATATTAAACAAAATAAAAACAAAATTGTTTGAAAAATGATCCAAAAATGATTACCAATCAAAACGATCAGAACTATAGTTGTATTTCTCGTGCCATTACGTCAAAGTTTAACGAAACTCGCCTTTTATCTTCAACGTTTTCGAATAATGCACAATAGTCTTTAAAACATTTGTTGGACAATCAATTAAGGGGACATTATAATTTTTGATACAGTGATTTTCTGAGATATTTCATACTTTTTAAACAATCAAATAAGCGTCCTTGGTATGCTCGTGGACATACATAATTGTGAAAAGTAGAAAGGACGTAGCTTTTAAGATAATATGGGGGCGCGGCGCTAGACAATCATGGCAGCATCTTCCGGGGGGCTGCATTTCTTTGCAAGTGGGACACCAAAATGAGATGAAATAAAGATCAAAACGACAAGATAATTATAATAAACTCAACTCGCAACGCAACCATTGATTAGGATTC